ATTGTTTTTGTTCTTTTCATAAAGAAGGATTCGTATATAAGACGTTAAAGATTAATTAGTAATTGTAAATAAGACTTTTTGTCAATTGGAATGTGTTTAGGATTTCAGGATTTTGTTGACTTAATGTAATGTAATGCGCAGATGAAAATTTTTTACTCTGTATTGATATTTGCGCAATACAAATCAATAAATATTATTATTATCATTATTTGCCTTTATGTTATTGTAAAACTCTTAAAAGGTTGTTTTAATGTTAGCTTTTTTGTAGATTTGTCATTTATCTTTTTCATTATAATGATTGGCAGCAGATGTAGTGGGAAGTACCCGTCCCAAGAGTCAATGACACATCATACTCGCATGCAATTTTATTCACTCATTCTCATCTTTTATATTTAATCAGTTATTCATTGACAAGGTTATTAAACGTTTGTATATCTATTTCAATAGATTGTAGGTGTTGATCCATATGGATCCATTCTAGCTGAACCAGAAGATCTTAATAATTGTGACAACCCAACAAAAAACGTAAGTTTCCCGAATTGATTACCGATTATATGCTGCGATAATTTGTTCTTATAATGAAGCATGATCGTTTACCTCACGTTGTGAGGACAGCGAGACTGCCAGACTTATGCAGAAGCGAATAAACGAACATGACGGAAATAAACCACCCGCTAAAACACAGACCTTTGCCGTATCAGAGCGCGCACTCGAAACCGGACATCGCCTGCTCTGGAAAGAATGAGTAGTAATATTTATTGATCGGTTTTCCTAGTGTAACACATACAGGTGATCCACATTAGACCTCACGCTAACAACATGTCCACGATCAAAAGGTTCAAGGACAGGAGGATTACAAGATCGAAGACTCTGTTGAAGCGGACCACTGAGGGAACAGATATGCCAAATGAAAGATCAATCGTAATTCCAAGAGAAGCCTGTACTCTTGCTGAATTATCCTCCGTAAAGTAAACCAGAAAATCATTAGAAAGGGATAATAACTTTCATTTCATGGGGACTTAGATAAGTTATAGGGAGCGAACCCGCACTAGGATTTTCTGGAATTAAGATCAACATCAGCAAAAGTTTTAAGCCAATTTCACATTTTCTTTAAGTTGGCTGAATTACAATTGTAGCTTGCTTCAATCATAATGAAAGATAATTTGCTCTCACGTGTATCGACATGATGCCATCTGGAAACAAAGTTGGTTATCTAAGCCGCTGTCACTTGACTTCTTCAGGTTGAAGGCATTGGTAAAGACTTTTTTCCCACTGTTCTGGACCGTTCAGTCGTTGACAAGTGGTACAAAGTTGGAGACAAAGAAGCATTCACTTTTGCAAGGAGACTCATAAAAGAAGAAGGATTGCTGTGCGGTGTGTTTTTCATAGAATATACACCACTTGAAGAAACTCTGTTGCTGAGTGTCTTCATCCATCCTGAAAATGATTGATGGCTTCAGAAGCCATTTGGTTATGGTTATAATTCAATGTGGATACTGGCAGGTGCAATGATCAACACTAGAGCACTGTCATTTGACAATAGTTACTCTTCACTAGAATCCAGCCCGCCTCTCAGATTGATAACATATCAGAGGCAATCACCGCCGGACAAAACCTTTCTGAAAGACAATCACACCATAACGAAATCATACGCCGCCTTAAAAACCATCACGAACCAGACGGTATATAACTTAAGTGCATGTATATGTGTCAATAAACGAAACTTTTCCAATAATCAGTTTATATTTACCATTTCTTATTTAGGAGGTTCTAGTGGAAGTGCAATGGCAGCTGCTGTACAGGCAGCTCAGACTCTGGGGGAGGGACAGAAGTGTGTTGTCCTTTTACCTGACTCTGTCAGGAACTACATGTAAGTTGACAACTAGAATTATATTCCGCGAACGATTGCTTTCAGCAAAGTAGCGTTATACCACAAATAAATGATAAAAGTTATTTTAAACAAACAAGAAAAAACTGAGGAATTCATGTTAGTTTACAACTGCTTGATGACATTCACAGGACAAGATTCTTGAGTGATGACTGGATGGAAGACAAAGGATTTCTTGAGAAAGAAAGGAATGGAGACAACAGCAAATTGTGGTATGTTCCTTTTGATTAAGTACGCTTTAAACTAAAGGCAGTGTCACACTGGTTGCTTTCAATGAAAACTGTCTCACAATTTAATGTATAAAATGTTGTCTACACCAACTGTCATATCTGTTTTCTTGCAATAGGTAGCGGTAAAGTATATATGACATTTGTTGCTAAAAAAGCAAAAGCGTTGCTCGACTTACACATTACATCATTTTTAGTTGGTGATTGTTCTTGCGTTATGCATCTCAACATACCATCTTTGTTACATTACTAACAAGATTTATATGATTTTCAAGGTGGTGGACAAACAAAATCTCCTGCATCAACCTTTCAAATCCCTTGACTGTCTTGCCAACTGTTACCTGTCAACAGTCGATTGACATAATGGACAGGTATAACATCCATGCATTGACATTTTTTAAGGAAAGTTATTGAAAGTTGTTCCCTGTACTCTGAAATTAATTTTTGATAGCTTCCCGATTTTTTGGTTCTTTCCAATAACTTTTTAAGGACAACAGATTTGCATGAGTTAAACTGTGGCTGTACTCAATTTTGAATATAGTGACGCAACTTTTTCGTCCCCGAGAAATAAGTTTCTTTAATATATTGTCCTATTTAATGTTGATATTTTTACAGACTACCGCTCAAAGAATCTGCAAGAATTGAAAAGATTTATTATAAAATTCAAGTGAACTTAGTTTTGAATGTTTATTAGAAAGTGGAATATTATAACTAAGTGAATCTGTTCTTCCGAGAAGCGTGGTCTAAAGATAACGGAGGCGCCTATAGATGAGCTTACGTCTCCGCCGAAGAGAAAATGAGAGAACAGGGAGGGAGGCCCCGGTTCCAGGCTTTTTGGAATGCACCAATTTCACAATTAATAAAAAATTTCTCAGGGGGGAAAACGTTGTCCGAGACGTCCACACGAAGGCTATCTGAACTTTAAAGATATCAATAGAAATTTGCTTTATCGGCATGACTACAAGCTCAATTTTGATGACGGCTTTTTTTTTTTCGAAAAAAAAATGCAAATGCTACTATTTTCGTTTTGCCGAGTTAACCTCCCGACCAAAGTTTTTTAGTAAATGTAATTGACATATCCCGGCAGCCGACGCACTGATTGTCTCTCTCTGTTCTCTCTTTTTATCCATATTACCCTTGATATTGAAAATAAAATAAAATCCTAAATTTCATGACATTCTTTTTGTAGAAATGGTTTTGATCAACTCCCAGTTGTCGACGAAACAGGGTGAGATTTTGGTTAACTTTTCTGAGATTTTCTATCAGTTATATAGTCTTTTGTGATATTGCTACATATTCATAATATCGTCATGATTTTCTAAAAAAAAAAGTCGCTATTTTTTCTCGTCAGTTCCCACAGCCAGAATTGTAGGTCTTTTAAAAATGCGGTGAACAACTATTTTTGTTTTCCTCCAACCAAAGGTCCGTGATACTTACCTTAGTTCATCCAGGCATTTTGAGACGTCCATTCTTTTAACTGAATTATGGAATGCAATTTAAATATACACCTTTCAACACAAGTCTCAATCTTAACAGACCAGCCGTTCCTAATTCCATTCCTAATCACTTTTCAATCATTTCAGGTCCGTGATGGGCATGGTAACCCTTGGTAATATAATGTCCCAGATGGTTAGTGGACGAGTAACACCTGAAAGCCCCATTATCAACTCTGTTTACAAAAACTTTAAAAAGGTAATTAGTGTAAGGTCGTTGAAGCGTTCCCTTCCTATGCTGTAAGCCTCTTAAAAGCATAGAGCGGGCAGTGGTAATTAGTGTAAGGTCGTTGAAGCGTTCCCTTGCTATGCTGTCGGCCTCTTAAAAGCATAGAGCGGGCAGTGGTAATTAGTGTAAGGTCGTTGAAGCGTTCCCTTGCTATGCTGTCGGGGGTCAGCTGCTGACTGAAAAGCCGATTGAACGGCCAGTGAACTGGTGGCTGTCAGAAATTGAGACTCACACTTTTAAAAGAAGTCTCCGGTGTGGTGATGTTCAAATGTATCATGAGTTCCAGTGTTTATTAAGATATCATGGATTTTCCTGTACATACACAGGGAGGTAAATTCGTCCTCTAAATGAGTCCTAATTATCTATTTTTGTCTTCAGGTTACGCTGGATACCACCCTTGGCCAATTGTCCCGTATCTTGGATCATGATCACTATGCCGTTGTAGTCCACAGGCAGCGACCCCGTAAGTGATTTGCTATTTTATGAAATGATGATGCAATCATAAAATACCTGATATGTATTTGCTCGTGTAACCCCACTTGGAATCCAGCGTGGCTAGCGTGGAAAGAAAGGTGACAGTTTGAGCGTGAAGTGCAATAGTTTGAATGTCATGAGAAGGCAATAGCTTCCTTGAATGTGTTCCATCCGAGATCACGGCCCGCGACAATTTCGCTTCACACTCACCTTCCCTCTTTAGACTCTCTTTAAACCTCTCAAGCTGCTGTTACAGCACTTTTCCCGTGCATTTTGATATTACTGAAGAACTTCGAGTCATGATTAGTTGCACTACGATCATTTTTTTTTTCTCTATTTCACTGATTTTGTTTCAACCCTCAGATTCTGGTAAAGGAAAGCTGGATGAAAAAGAGATGATATTTGGAATTGTGACACGCATTGACTTCATGAACTTCATTACTCTAAATCAAAATAAGAATGGAGTGAAAAACGGCGAGGTAGAAGAAAAAGAAAAAGAAAATGAAAAAAACAGTCACTGATTGTTTGTCTTATCAAACTGATGTAATCCGTGTGCGATTTTTTCTTGTTTCTCTTCGAAAGAAAGGTTATTCAAACAACTGTAAAGAGCACAAGCCATAATCTGAGAAATCCCACAGGTTAAAATGATGATAGTAGTAACATAATATTAGCTATTTATGAGTGTTGTGACCGTTTTTTACTGGGTCAAATTTGTCTCCATGCGATGTGTTCTTTTAATTCAAGTCATTCAAGGACTTGTTTTAAATGAAAACTATGTTGTGAGTCTGCCCGAAAAGGTTTCTAGAATATTCCGAAATTTTTACGCTAATTTCACTCTCCAGAATTAAAAATTAAATTAGAATTAAAGTGGACTGTCACGTCTGTGGTTGCACGAAAAACGTAATTGCAGGTATGTTGATTGAAACCAAGATATACCTGTAGTTTAATAGTTAGTGCTTGATAAGAGGACGTATGAAAATTAGCGAAAGTGACAGTACGTCATATTCAGAAGCAGTTTTAAAACTTTGTTATCTTGGTGCTGGGAAAATGAAGGGAAATAAAATATAGATATCGTAAGCAATAAAGAAAATAAATAAATAAAGAAGCTGACTGGTCATCTCTGTATCACGTGTTGTTTGTCTGCTATCGGGAGACGTAGGAGACAGTTCTTGATGAGACACAGCAAAGCTTTCTTTTTTAGGTTGTCGTGATCAAGCACGTCTAAAGAATGACGTGAGGATCTCAATACACTCACTGAAGAATCATGCGGTCATTGTATTACAATCAAGTGTCAGGTGACTTATGAAATAGCGAGCTATTGATAACATATTGTAACAATCTCTTGTTCCCTTAACGATTCTAAACGACCGTAAAAATATAACTAGATTAATTGGAGTAATTGTTATCCTCTCTACCTGTGAGAAAATAGTCTCTTTAGCTTTTTAAAATACACACATTAAGCATCTATTCAGTTATATAAATAACTTTAACGCGTCTCTTTAACGTGAATTCGTCAAAGTTAATTTTCATAAAGGAGTTTCCTGGAAATTAGTCTTTTGTCGAGTTCACGATCAGGAAAGAATATTTTACTTTAATATAAGTACGTTTCATTCCTCTTTTGTTTGAGGCGACTGTCAAATGTTGTTCTGTCGCACTTTGTGTTACCACTTGATGCACTTTGTAATAAAAAAGCTGCCGCACAAAACTATGGCTTTAGGGCGTTTTATTGCATCGAATGTTTATATCAATCCTTTATCACAACAATGCATACAAGTTTAAAATAAAATACACTTACTTTATTGATCTATTGACAGGAATACTTTATAATTAAAACGCTAAACTACTAAAAACTAATTTTACTAGTATTAAATTTAAAAACAAAGCTAATCGGGCTAGTTACAATTCAGGAAAAAAGGTCACTACGTAATTTAAACTAAAAATAAAACTAGAAGTAATCTTGTGCTTATATAAATGTAAAATTTACAGTAAGGCTAGTAAACTATTTACTAAAACAATAAGGCTAAAAGGCTAATTACGAAATTCGATACAGAAAGGGGTTTACAAATATGAGATTATTTCATAAAAATAGGTCAGCAGCTGTACAATTTACTTTAAAATCATCTACAACTTCACTTCTAAAAAAGGGCTGGCGCGATCCTTTGATGCTAGTATTTACAGACTTTGATATTTCGAAAGAAATCCTGGTCCTGAGCCAGCCAATAACAAATGGGTGACCTTCAACGTCCTTATCTGCCAATTTCTCCGCTAATTGTTCCATAAACATTGTGCATTCTTTGCCCATCCCGCCGCTGGTTCCAAAAATAAGTGGGTAAAGGAGCCCATCTCGACTTCTAGCACCCTTTGTTGGTACTTTCTCTTCTTCTCACTCTCCTGTTCCTTGAAAATTGCTGCAGTTGATTTCCCCTGGCTAGTTTTGGAGTTGACATGCGTCACTCTAACATCGAAAAATGCTGTCACTCTGCGCGATCAGAAGCCATCAGCCTTCACTTCCAATCTCGCGTCGGAACTTGTTGTGGTGGCTGATCTTAAATTCATCACTTCATTGTCCAATGGCTGGAGGTGAGGCTCCACTTGGACGTTCTTGCACACTTTGCTGAGTAAGGAGGTTAGTAGACTTCTCACTCCATCATGGCGTTGAGCCACAAATGCCCCCTTTTTACATGACAAGGTATGGCTTACGTTAAATGGCTCAGCACAAGCACAGGTAGGCGGTATTTCCTGCAGTGGTAAATTGTACCGCAATCGCAGGGAATCCCTAAACTCTTGCTTATTCAATGCCAAACCCTGATCTTTGAGGGGTACGGCATTGCGCCAGGAACTTGCATCTTTGTCTCTGGCTTGCTGTGTGAGACACAACAGCTCAGGGTCGAGGGATGCCTCGATACTCTCGATTTTGGACCTTGTGTTCGCTGCCTGGAGTGACCGTAGAGTGATCGTAGAGTGACCGTATCATGATAGATGTGTTAACATGGCATAGTTAGTGGGTCCCCCTGAGTAGTACCTTCCTGTGACAATCGCTCAATCACTGCACTGTGTTCCTTACTCTTCGACGTGCTTGATGGTTTCTGGAGAATTAGAGATGGAAGCACAATAAATGCTTTTAGTGCGATTGAATTTTGCTCGAGATTGTAATGGAGCTGTTTTAGCCAGAAAGGCAATTCGTCTATAAACAACTTTCCCGCTCTGCCCGACGGAATGTTGAAAATGTTCTTTCTAAAATGAACAATCTCCTCGTAAATATCATTTCTTGGGCTTTGGTGACTAATGTTGCCCCTCTTTTTCTTCTTTATCTCGGATAGGAAAATGTCAAAGACTAGTAGATTTGGCTGGTTCTTGCTTGTCACGAGTTCACTACTTTTTTTTGTCTTCGGTGATCCCAAAGGAACAGATTTGTACGCACCTAAATTCAATTTCAATTTTATGAAAAAATCTTTCACTTATGTGTGCGCAGCTGTGGAATGGACTACCTACAATTGTAAAACTGGCCAATAATATCAACCTTTCTAAGAAGCTATTGAGAACATTGAAACTTTAGCTGCTTCTCCATTTTATACTTGTATTTAAGTGACTCAATTTCATTGAACAAACTTCATTTTTAAAGTTAATTTTAAATTATTTAAGCTTTTGCCTCACCCTTTTATACCTGTATTTAAGTGACTTTGAATTTTACTGTACAAAATTAAATTTTAATGTTAATTGTTAGTTATTTCAATTTCTAATCAATTAGGTCTTGACAGTATGTATTAGGTTTTTTTAGATTCTTAATCTTAGAGGCACGTACGTATTTTGAACGAGCTCTATGAGCTCCTTGACGCTACGTGGGTAAATAAAATATTGATTGATTGATTGATTGATTGATTGAGATCTCTCAACTCCCCTTTGTTCTGTTATGTAAATTTGAGTTACTACTCTTCTACATACTGAAATTTTCAAGTGTTTCTCTGTTCGCCAAGTTTTTCCAAAACTTCTTGTTGGGTCTTTGTCGCAGGTAGTCGAACTTCTGCAGTGCCATGCTACAGCACCACGGCAGGTTGTGATGTTGATTTTCGTTCTCGTCGATTTTCTGTGGCAGTACCTTTGTTTTGGCATTTTTCAGAGCTGCAGTTACAACTAGGCGAACACGTCTTCCCCGCCGATTTACATGGGCAAACACCACGGCCTTTCTTTTTAGCACATTTCGATTTGCAGTCACAAAATAAACTGATATTGGAGGAGTTTATCAGTCTGTCTGGTTGTGTTACTTCAGTGTTACTTCTTTGCTATTATCTACCACTTGATGGTCATGACCTTGACTATCCGGACTTTTTTCTTCAAGTTTTGCTTATTTTCAACGGTTTTTTAAGCTGAAAATAATCGTCAGGTTGACACTACTTTACCACTGCCGTCACGGCCGAAAATAGGGGTGACGCAAAGTCCAATTCTTCCTCGTGTTATTTTTGTTTAGACCAGCCAAAATAATGTAGAGGAGCATAAACATAGAAATATGAGGTGGTAACAGAGTCAGCCAAAGTATCATGCAGATTTTCCCTTCTCGTCAACATTATATTCACTATTACTGTCACTGTCACGATCATTATTGTCATTCGTATCATTATAATTATTATTCCTACAATTGCTATTCTTATTCTTGTCATTAGTCTTATCATTTTTATTATTATAATTATTACTATTACCATATTCATGATTACGATTGTCGTCACCGACAAGAATGATAGTTATTCAGTATTGGGTCTAACAGCCCTCCGACTCTCTATACCAAGTTAATCTTTCTAAAATAATTTTTTTCCCTATTATATAATTCCACACACATGTGTATAGAATTTACTTCTCAATATTTTTATTTTAAGTTCTAGTTATTACCAATCAAAGATTGGCAAGTTTCAGGAATGTGTTTTTTTTAGCAAAGTCAACCTTGGTAAGACTCGAGCGTTAGCGTTTCGAAACTTCAGCTTTGAAACCCTAAACGGTGGCCAAGTGAATTTTACATTATCAACTCAGTTGATAAAACCCAAATTAACTTGTTACTCCCACCGACGCTGCGCCAGTTTCTTTGGAAAGTAACCCCTTCATTCACAAATTTTAGGACACTCTGTGTACTCCGAAACTTTCCACATCGGTTGATCAGTCAGTCGATCGACCGAGAAACTAACCAACGTTTTTCCTTGTCCACCGAGAAAATATATCCATGTTCTGTAGCATAAAAACGAGCAAATCGCTTTTGCCAAGAGGAAGACAGTAGCAAATCCAGGGGGTGGCTTCGATTTCCATTCCTTTGCAAATCAAAGTTTGACAATCGGCAAGTTTAAAGAGGTCATCGATTAACTGAGAAAAACACCGAGCGGTTTATTGTAAGCCCAAATAACAACAACAACAACAACAACAGCAACATTAAGTTAAACACAATGAAAATTACAGCGGAGCTGATGTGGTCGTGTATTTAAAAAGTTAAAAAGTACTATTTACAGGTAAGTAAAACGATTAAAACAATGAAAATTTAAAAAACGTATTTGAAATGTATAAATATAGCGGTTATAAATTAATGACAGGAAGATCGTTTCACCATTACTCTGAGTTTCACGCGCGATCGTCAGACGGTTTATTATCGATAATAAACTATTGACGATCGCAGCGCAAGCTGCGTGAAACTCAGAGTAATGGTGAAATGATCTTCCTGTCATTAATTTATAACCGCTATTGAAACGCTCTGCAACCCGCATCGAACACTTTTTCACAGCCGCAACTTCTCCTTTCTCCTGATGAGGCCCAGAAGGCCGAAACAGTACTGTCTGCAGTTAGTTATATATATATATATATATATATCTGACAAGTTAAAAGGCCTCGAGCCAACAGTGACGCCGCGCCAGNACGTTCTCTGCTCCTTTGAGAACCATCAACTCAAAATCAAAGTGTAAATCGCCCCTTGTACATACTTTTTCCACTTCATAACACCCCTGTGCTGGCCCTCCCTAGCTGGTGTACTGCACAGAGAGCACCTTTCTCGCGTGTAAATAGAAAACAGATTTCTCCCGGAGCTGGGGCTCCTTCACTGGGGTACTGCTCAGAGGAGCTAGGCTCCCGTAAAACAACCTGTAAATAGTATAACACCCAACAACTGTCAATAACCTAGCTAATTTCTCCTGCGTTGGGTCTCCTTCACTGGTGCACTGCACAGCGGGCCCTTTACCGTTAATTCACTTATGTGAGCTTTAATTGAGTTTTGTTCTGTATATAACACTAATCATTGTAAATAAAGTTGATTTAAAAAAAAAAAAAGTAGTGTACCGGAAAAAAAAAAAAAAAAAAAGTGGTGTACCGGAATGTCCTATGCTCCTTTACGAATCAGCAACTAATAATAAAGATTTAAACCCCCCTCCCCAACACGCCCCTTCGCCGGGTCTCCTTAATTGGTGCACTTTGCAGAGGCTCCCCCCCACCTGTATGAAACCTTTCCTAAACAACTAGCACTTACGCCTCTAATGTAATCCAACTCGTCCACCAGCTACGAACAATGAACCCCTAGTAATGCATTAGTTCCCCAATGCACCGCATTGCACAGCGGTATTCACCTTCAAATGTTCTTTTATGTACGATCAAATGTAATTTCCCCTGATTTGTTGTGATCCCAATCACCGTATCTAAATTATCCACTTATTATAATCAATCATTGTAAGCAATCAACTACCTCTGTAAATAAAACATTGATTTAATAAAAAAAAAAAGAAAAAAAAGTGTCTGTAGTTATATATATAAATTCTGTATACGAGGGAAACCCTGACCCTGTACACCCCAAATAATCATACTTAAATAGAATAAATGGTTGAAAAGAAAATTTGCCCTGAGCGGGATTTGAACACATGTCCCCCTGTTACTAGTCAGGTGTGATGACCACTACAATATCAGGACAATCATGCTGGCAATACGGCAACGGAAGATGTGATTTACGTGATCGGAGACATGGTCTCCCGGGAAACTTAATTTTCAAGGTGACAGGGTAGGGGAAGCCTATAACCCCATATGAAACCCAACTAAGGGTCTACTAAGGATCCCGTTCAGGGCAAATTTTCTTTTCAAACATTTATTCTATTTAAGTATGATTATTTGGGGTGTACAGGGTCAGGGTTTCCCTCGTATACAGAATTTGTTTAATTGAAATTAGCCTGTATCCGTAATTGGATCCTCCTTTGTCATCCGCTAAGGGTAGTTTGGAAAATATGGAATGCCGGAATTCCGTGTCGGAATATCCGGAATACCCGGAATTCCCGAAATGACCGAAAAATAATAAATTTAAAAAAATTAAAAGTAAATANTCCGCTAAGTTGACTTCGGTCGTGTATCTTTAATAGATCCTTAGTTGGGTTTCATATGGGGTTATCGGCTTCCCCTACCCTGTCACCTTGAAAATTAAGTTTCCCGGGAGACCACGTCTCCGATCACGTAAATCACATCGTCGATTGCCGTGGTGCCGGCATGGTTGTCCTGATAGTGTAGTGGTCATCACACCTGACTAGTAGCAGGGGACGTGGGTTCAAATCCCGCTCAGGGCAAATTTTCTTTTCAAACATTTATTCTATCTATATAAATATCAGACTGTGTAAATATATATATGTATATATATATATATATATATATATATCAAGCTATTATCATGAAATTCTACGTTTAAGCGTGTTTTTAAACACGCTTCTGCCCGCGATTGAACGCGTATGATTTTCGAGAGAATTTCGAGACGAGGCTCTGTAACAAGTGGACTTGCGAAGAAGTTCTGAGTTCGGCTTCGGTAACAAAAAAGTAATTCCTTCGTAGGTTATAGTTATAATCATATTTCACAAACAGCTGCTTAATAGGAACAAGTGAACGGTCATAAAAACAGTCGTGTGCTAAGGAAAGTAATATATATTCGTATAAACAGTTAATGATAGAAGAGAAAAAAGTGTTCTGTGAAAGAAAAACAAGTATCCTTCTTATATAAAATGAAAAATGGTAGTGAATGCAGAGGATGGACTGTATGACCAGTGATTTAGTCTCTCCCAAACGTCATCATCTTGGGTTCAACTCCCGCACAGGCCTTGATTGTTTTCTAGGTATTATTTTCACTACCGCTTAAGTAGTGTTCATTACTGCGAAGATCACTCACATATCTATTATTGCCATCTTCATTATTACTATCATTATCATTAGTATCATCATCATCGTCGTCCATATCACCATAACTATCACTTTTACTATCTCAATCATGATCACTATTACGATTATCATCATCAATATTATTATTACTATTATTAACATTATTGTCTCTGTCGATATTGACAAGGATAATGGTTATCGCCCTGTGACTATCTACACCAAGTTCGTTACAAAGTGCGACAGAACAGAGCTCAGTAAGGGCTCTTATGGTAGGGGAAAAAGTTAAGGTAGAGTCTGCTCTCATCAACTACGCATGAAGAAGAATTTCCCTAGCCCAGTGATAACAGTTCAAGTTGTACTACAAATCGGTGGTAAGTAGGCCATTCCCTGATGGTGAGTGCCATCTACGCCTATTTCTTATAACGCTTATCTCTAATGTCATATTGGTATTACATTCTTGAACACGTGACTACATTTAATCAGAGACTTTGTTGCCCAGAAAACAAAGATTTAATTCTACATTTCTAGAAAAGTACAAACAAACGGTTAAGAGGATCACCCAAATCTACCGAACACAAACAAGAGAAAATGCAACAAGAGAATATGAGGAAACAGAAACAGAGACTTCTACTCCACTCCTCGTCCATGATATCCATGATTTCATCCTGTGTCACTAACGATTTCTTTAGCCTTTCTAATGTGGACCACTGTCCTTCTCGGCTCCACCAACAAAACTGGGTTCCTTTCTATATAATTATATATATATACATATATATATATATATATATATATATATATATATATATATGTAGATCAGAATCAGTCCCTGTTTACATAAATATTAAAACAGGTACCGTTCCTGTTAGGATTGACTCAGAAGAACACTAAAGGAAGTCCTGAGGATATTTTACAAATTTAGCTATGAGCTTGTAGCCAACCTAAACATATTCAAGATATGGTTTGTCTGGTTAATGAGTCTGTTCGCGCTGACGTATACTGCTTCTGACCTAAAAGGAGAAAAAGTAGATTTCAAACATTAAATCTATTATCAGACCAAAATTTGGTAAAACTTTCACCCAAGACAAGTGCCTCTCTCTCGAACCACGAAAAGTCCTTGTTATCCAGCTTAGTCTGGCCTACTTGACGTGCAAAAGGCAAAGATGCACGGTGGGGGGGGGTAGGGAGAAGGGAAATTCGAAATTTAACTTCATCCCTCTTTCTCCTTGAACACTACGCTATACTTAGTCTCCGCAAGTGAAAACACAAATCACTGAAAAAAGGTGGCAAATCCCTGGGAGTAAGAGGCGATTTCTCTAAGCTGGATACTCAAATTTACTTTTTATTTGCACACAGGAAAGGGGAACCGCTCTCATCATCATCGTCGTCCATATCACCATAATTATCACTTTTACTATCTCAATCATGATCACTGAGTGAGATTACTGTGAGAAAACAGTATCACTTTTAACTATCACTTTTAACTATCACTTTTACTATCTCAATCATGATCACTGAGTGAGATTACTGTGAGAAAATTTTGGGAAAATCAGGAGTAATACAACGCGATAACGTACATTCAATGCTAAGGAAACACAAAACACCGGGGAGAGCATCATCTGGCGTGCTTACAATAATGCTTATGAGGGAGTGGTAAGATTTAGTCGCATTTACTGAAAACAGTAGAAGCACAGCTTCACACAATATGGCACCACTAACAATAAATACTGCTTAAAACCCATTTCAAACCGACCTTTGATCTTTAAAATACTGCTTTAGAGTATCACTAAAGTTTTTGGAGTATTTAACAAATTCCTTTTTGTTCCTCTCTAGACCCTAGATTGAGTGGAATAAAACAATGTCAATACTGTTAATGATATGCAATAATCAACTTGGGTGCCTGCAATATTTTTTCTACTGATGAAGAAGCTTTTTCCTTATCTAAAAGAAAAAGTAAAGAAACTGATTCGAAGTTTTAAATAAATGGATAGAATCATACAAGGCACAATTTTAAGGAAATCATTTGCAAACAAATTATGTTGCAGCATGTAGTTCAAAGGTGCAAGAAAACATCTCTCTCATAATATCTTTCACACTTAATAAAAAGAAGAAAATGTAAGCAGAAAGGGCAATAATCTCAATCTACACTGTACATGCAATCAATCTATCTGAACATAGTTATGAATCCCTGCTACTTCTCCAACACTCCTCCACTGCCCCAAAAAATCTAATGCCTTCATTATGAAGAGGGCATCAGTAACTATTGTTCTGGAACACAGAGTCAAACAAGAGGATAAAGTAATATTATCATCTTACTTGTGCTGTGGCACTAGCACCAAGGCCACAAGACACAAACAGATAACTGGCCTGGCAAAATAAATGTTACAGTATCTCTGGAAATCTGCCCACAAACAAAAGTGAGCCAAATTCCTTTCCTGAACAACTTTCCAAATATCATACATGCAACATTTCAAAAAACATTACAACCAGAAGATTTCATAGAGGCAATGTAAGTTGCAGTGGAAGATTCGGTGGAACTCTGATTTGAAAGTGTCTATAAGGCCAACAGGGTGTTTATTGTTTTGGTATCTCTTTAACCTGTAAAAAAGTATTCTAAAAAAATTGGATTCTGATGCCTCTTCACCCTAAAATTGAGCTTTAAAGTTCCTGCTTCAGCCACGCCCAATAAAGTTGACCGCGCAAGGGAACATTAATGATGAGTGACATCACTCCAGGAGCATCTCCAGTGTTGTGTTGTTACTTTGCTTGACAAACACAGTACTTTTGCAACAAATCTATTGGGCATATTTATGTTGCCGAAAACTCTTTACCTTACTGAAAAAAAAACAGTGAAATGAACCACTGGTGGGATTTGGCGCGTTCCTGACTTGACGTCACAACCCATTCTGAACCCAATCTCTTTTTTGCCCCAATTCACGGTCACCTTCAATGGGACGTGGCCAAAGCGGGAAGTTTAAAGCTCGATTTCAGGGCAGAGACTTGTCAGAATCCAATTTTTATTTAAGAATACTTTTTTACATGTTAAATACACACCAAAACTATAAAAACCCTGTTGGCTGTATAGACACTTTAAAGAATTCCTTCATTTTTAGCAAAGTCAGATGCTACCAGAATTACAGAGATTATTTGCTTCTGACGATAAAAGTGTTTCCAATTACTGTACCTCTTTATATTGTACCATCTTCCCAACATTCTGACACTTCTTAAAAACCTCATTTACAGCATCTAGCAGGTCCCTAATGGCAGTTGCAATATCCCTGGGTAAAAAGTGTGATGTCAAAAAAGGTGTTCTTTTTCTTGTTTCCAGAGTGATATTTTTCCAACTTTAATGTAGCACCAAAAGTTGTTTATTTCAAGGTTATCAATCTCTCTGGTTAAAAGTCAGGAAATATGCATGTCTTCCCCACAGACCACACAAAATCTTGGCAAATAATCAAGACTGGCAGAGTATCTGACAGCTTAACATACAAGAATATTATCTCTTCTCTTACATATATCAATTTGTACTTAAAATGTTCATGTCATTATCTATATAACTTAAATTTTCCAATTGTTTACTTACTTTATAGTCTGCAAAAACTTTTGCCTGTTGCCAATTTCAGCTGGAATTTTTGCTAATATGGTCTTGAGGTCTACATTAGAAAATTAAGTAAAGCAAGGTTTAAGAAATAAAAATTGCAAGAACATAATTATACATTTCAATTATTGGGCAATCATCATTATATGCATTTCCACACAAGTGTACAGACAAGATTAGACTAGAAAGGGAATAAATTTGCAAAGCTATGTTGCACTCTTATTTGTATTAATTCCAATATTGTGAATCACTATATGTTACAGGGATATTTGTGATGGTAGGTCTGGTATCTAAGTGTTGTAGGGAAATTAATCTGGTGTCACAACACTGTAGTGGTAAAACATGTGCAGTACCATTAACTTTCAACTTTGTTTGCACTGTTCAGATGAATTCATGTTACACACAAAGAGTATATATAGTTACAGAAATATACTATTTAAATATGATTTAAGTTTTGATATATGGAAAATCTAGAGGGTGTGCACAGTGGCCAAGGAGCTGAGGCTTTTGAGTTGGCCACTTTCATGTTTGAAATAGAATCAGAAAAAAAAACCAAGATTTAAGTTCATTAAAATTAAAATTGATGGGCACTAATGAGAATAATTTAGTACAAATGTCATACTAACTGAAGCATATCATAATTGGAGGGCATACTGTGACATCTACAATCATTGATTGGAAAGAAGAAATATGAGAGTGTATATCTACTAATGAGTTGATAAAGTTAAGCCTTTCTTATTAAGAATTTTATGTGTAAATACAGCAGTATTAAATCAAAAATTTTTCTCACAATTGAGAATTTCAAGTAAATTGTAAATGATGGTCTCTCACAGCAGTTGGGAAGATCATTTATATCTAGTACGCGCGTAGAAAAAGGGACGGCCTAATGTACACCCTTCAGGTACCCCACAGAGGAGAGGCAATCAGCTACATTCTACTTTTCTAGTTTAACATACTATGTATGGTGTTTTAAATAGCTTTTAATCCAGCAAAGAGGGAGACCCCTGATTCCATAAGCATATAGTTTGAGAGTAATATTTCATGATTTACAGTATCAAATGCCTTTGATAGATCAAGGAAGACTCCTCAAGATATTTTCTTTTTATCTATCGTTTGTTTTAATTTGGCAACGACCTATAGTATAGCTTGTCTGGTAGATAAGTTCTTTCGGAAGCCAAATTGATATTTATATAGAATTTCCCATTTTTTTAGGAATGAAGAGAGTTGGTCAATGCCATGTACCAACCTTTCAAGAACTTTACTAAAGGGGGGTAGAACCACAGTGGGTCAGTAATTTCTTGGTTCATTCATTATACCATTACTATAAACAGGAGCAACTTGAGATATTTTGAAAATATCTGGCATAACACCAGTCTTGATAGACTCATTATAAATAAATGTAGACAGTTTTGAGAGATCCTCAGAAGCAATCCATATCAATTTATTTGGAATATGTAGTGAAGTTCCGTTATCATTTAATTTAGAGAAGAGATTATGAACCTGTGCCTCAGTTACCTCAGATAAAACAAAACTTGAGGAAGGAGAAGACTTAATGTATTTGAGGGGGCTATCATCATTATTCTTTATAGAACTGGCAAGTATAGGGTCTACATTAACAAAATATTGGTTAAGCTGATCAGCAACATCAGAGTTTGTTGTATAGATTTGATTGGTGAGAATAGTTTTTGATGGGCCAGATTGCCCTTTAGTTTTACGATGAATAAGTGTTCCAATTAATTTCCTTGTTGACTTCATGATAATTTACACAAATTGAAGTGTTTGCGATAGTTTAGGGTCTTGCTTTGTGACTTAAGCTTGTTAAACTAATTTGAATATATTTTATATTTGTCCACTTTGAATGTGTCATAGGTTTTATACATTCTTTGTTTAGTTTTTATTGATTTTACGATGCCATTTGTTATCCATAGTTTGGTTAACTGAGTGTTTTTGTTTAATCTTAGAAATATATTTTCTTTGGAGCATGCTTGTCAGTAGTTACTGTTACAGCTTGAATAGTTTTGGCAGCAAGCTCACGCAAGTTGGTACATTTGTTTTGAATATCATTCCAGTCATTAGCTCTGATATCACTTTTATATAATTCTTCATTAAATTCACTGTAGTCTCTAAAAGTCTTGGGATGTGTTTGGTGCTTTACTGCTGTCTCAGATATGCAAAACACTGGTAAATGATCTGAAATGTCTATAGTAGCAATTCTAGAGACTGTTTGTTAGCAGGTCTAGTATCAAAGTGTTGTAGGGAAATTAATCTGATGTTACCACACTGTTGCGGTATAGCATGTGCAGTAACATTTACATCACAGTTACCTTTTGCTTTTTTCAACAATGCATTGAATTCATCTCCTTGGGCATTAAAAGTATAATCTGGAAAAGATCAGGGTAACTGACTGTCAGCAAATACTTTAGAACTCCTATCATAACAAAATCCTTGGAAACTATAAATTAAAGTATCTTGGAGATGTAGCATTACCCTTTCACCCATGTGTGTCTCTAAATTGTGGAAGAGTATTTCACTAAACAGGCAGTAAGTCAAACAGTATTTGTACATTTAAGAGAGGATAAAAGAGTCCCAGTATGGTTTAATCACTTTTGATAGCCAATTCTGTGATGGATTGCACTTGCCATATTATGTTTTATTTGATTAATCAACATGCTGTTATCGTTCTTATCACAATCAAGGTAACCACACAGACACAACAGTTGTCTAAAGGAGTATTTGTAAAATCTGCCATCTTGACGACACACTGTGTGTTATTTGAAATTGAAATTAGAGTCAATGACTATAGCATTAGCTTCATCAGAGCTTATTTTTGGAAGCAAATTACATTGTATCTAAAAGTATAAACATTTAATGCATGATTTATACATTAAAACTTATACAGATGGCCTGGAGGGACCCAAAAGGAAAATCAAAACTTGCCTTCACTGTTTTGAGCAGCACAGTGGAGAAGAACTTCATTCATGTTGACTGATAATGATGCTGTATGGAATAAATTCAGTTTTTTTCTTAGTTTAAAATTCTTCAATCAGCATTAATATTTTGCTTTGTTACTTATCAACAGGATTTTAAATAAGCAAAATAAAAATGACCATGTTAGAAAAATTCTAAAAGAAATTGAATAAAAAAATTAATTACACAAACTTACCTGATTTCAAAATTTCTCCAACAATTTGTTGTGTTATCCCTGGTATTTCATTCTCAACCTAGGAAATAAATACATTACAACATTACAAAAGAGGAAATTTAACCTTGTCTACAAGGACACAATAGGACAAGTGATAGATCAGAGATGTATCCATGAAGATAAGAACAGGTGTATGAATGATCTCAGCTGATTTATTTAATTGTCCTCCCTCATAATGTTTTCCTAGTGTACCAGTTATTTTTGAACACATGATATCTCAAAACCTCAAAACTTACAGAGAATAAACTTTTTATAATCATTCATAATTGAGTGTTTGCCATACGGAAATTTAATAGTTTATAAGGGATTAAAACTTGAATGTTGTTTATAAAAGGTATAGGCTGAGGATACAGCTAGCTATCCTGTATTGCAAACCAATGTACCAATTAATCAAAATGTCAACAATTTTATCATAAATATGTACTTATTGACTGATTGGGAGGGCTGGTCTAGGAAATATTTAGTGCAAGGTCATAATTAAGCGCATAGAGTTCAATTTTAATGCGCTATATAAGAACTTATTATTAAATTAAATTAATACACAATGTATGGACCTTGCTGTGCTTGGTCTGTGGGTCATGAACAAGAGCCAAACATTTTCCTGTTCAGCCCAACCTAACTCAGTCAATAACCATTTATCATATGACCACTGACTAAGTTCATATGACCACTGACTAAGTTTTGAAAAATTAAAAAGGTTTGTTAAATAGGATGCAATAGACTGGCACACCCATGAAAACCACCAAAAGAATTCTACAACTTACGCAAACTTTTTCTTCATATTTTTGAGTCAGAACGAAAAAAATCACAATTTATCTAAATTTTCTCATTTCTGACTGCTACTGTTACTTACTTTTTGCAACAACAGCATACAATGTTAATTTTTTTTTTTTTTGGCAACAAAGCAGAGCAGACTTGTCATAATGATAAAGAACACAATTTTTTTCTTTTCTGCGTACATGCCTACCACCTGCATACAGTTTTGTCCACATTCTGATGGTCATCTACAATCATATACTGTTGTTAAATGTGAATCTCATAGAGTGCAGTATGCACAAATAAAAAAGCCTTCACTTGATTAAAAAATGTGCAATGCAAATTAACTAACTCACATGACACTGCATCATTCATAAAATGTTAACACCTATTACCTTGACAAAAGCTGTTCGAAGTTTTTCAACAGCTTCCTTATCATAAAATGGCTCTAACTAGCACATAAAAAAAGAAAAACAACAGAAATCTGAAGTCAAAAGCTGGAGAAGATAACATACATTAGACACAAGGTTTGATACTTCGTGATATCATGCAAAAACCCAATTCAATAACTGTTCTATTATACATTTGTTTAAAAATGTCCAACTGTAAACAATACTTTCTGGATTTGCAAAAGTTTGAAAACACTACACAGACAAAGGGATGGGAAACTAGGAAGACAGACTTTGAGCTTGACATGATAAATGCAATATCTGCTGCAATATCTGAACACTACACAGACAAAGGGATGGGAAACTAGGCAGACAGACTTTGAGCTTGACATGATAAATTCAATATCTGCTGCAGATATTGCATTGTCACGTCAACTTCACATGCTATTGTATATTGATTGAGTACCCTCACTCAATCAGATGTTTCATAGTATAATGTATCATAAAACAGTTTACCGTCTTGGTAAAAGCAATTTTCAATTAACACTCACAATCATTTTCTACTCAACTGCATGTAACATTTAGTTGTATTTATACAGTGATTGTTGTTGTAAGTTTTGATATCAGTACCAGGAGAATTTATTTTGATTTTCTTCATTTGAATGTACAGGGATGATAATTTTGTTACACTACAGAGTCTGTTTGATATTCCTCGTAAAAATAAAAGAGAGCTGAAATTAATGACTTATTTATCTTTACAAGAGAGACAGAGTAGAAGGGATGACATTTTGGTTGTGAGATAGTGTTGAATAGATCCAATAAAGGATATTTACCTTTAAAGATGAGTGCAAGTAAATCAAGCCTACGTTCGCCCAATTTAGAAGGTCAGATTTAGTTAGGCTTGTACAATTCTCGAATTAAAAAGGAAACAAAGCTGTAGTATTACCTCACGGAGTGTAGGCTTAACAATAGCTTCTAGAGCCAGATTTGGGACTGGGGTACTTTCCTCGCCATCCAGCGCCATAATTCCAATTTTGTTTTGCTTTCTTTTTATTCGTCACACCTGACCATCCGCCATGTTCAAAAATTTACCTCCCATGGGGCTTTGCTTGGCTACACCTGAAGGTAGCTGGGAGTAGCTTACATGAAGTATAAACCAACTGCCAAGTGGCAAGGAAGAAAATGGATGTTACCGAGCAAGACGATGGTCTCTTGAAAACGCTGTTCCAGGAATCTTTCCAAGGTAATTCTCACAACATGAAATAATATGAACAATTTTGTGTGGGGCCATCCTGTTTTGTTAACCTCGATAAATTATAGATATTGTTCTACTTGTTCTTGTTTGTAAAACGTTTATCTTATTGGAGCTCGTTAAGCAAAAGTTAGCATAAGAAGCTTGCATGTGTTAAAAATGGGATAAGTGAAAATTGTATGGATCAAAAATTCCTAAAGGTACCTTCATAATGTATGTTCACTACTTTCGTATAAAACCAAGTAAAGGTGCGACATTTCAGTAAAGGTGCGACATTTCTGCTTTGGATAAGGAGATGTGGCAACCAAAGGTACTTTGTTTGCTCTATCCAGATTTAATAATGTCATTGATGTACAAAGTAAATGTATCATATCTTTCAAGTATTTGGAGAGCCAGGCCAAAATTCCTCAGTTACTGCATGAAAAGGTTTCAACTGGGAAATGTTTATCAATGCTACAACTAATTAATCAATGTAAAAGTTCTCTGCTTTGTACTTTATTTTTTCAGAGGCATGGAAGGATAGTCCAGATTTCACTTTGTATCTAGCAGAACTGAGTGCTTCCAGTCTGGAAAAATTAAGTAAGACTCTGAAAAACTTTTTTATCGCTGCAAGTTCAATAAGCCTATTAGGTGTTAAGGCTTTTATTTGTGTACCATTCCTTTCTACTCAATTATCTAATAAGTTTGCTGACTAAAATATGGAGATGAGATGATAAATGAATGAGTAAATGCATGAAGCTTTTTCATAGTTAATGCAGTTGGGGATATTTTATGCAACTCTTGGTGATAACAGGTGCAGGAAAAATAGAGGTACATTTAGGATGGGGGAAAATAAATTGATTTGTTACTCCTATCTCCCCTGATCTAACACCCTCTTTATTTTTAAACAGATATGCACAAGAAATAATGTGGAGCTTACCATAGGCACAAATACAGACATGGAGGGTGTAGTGACCTGGTCATAACCTATAATTTATGTGCATGTGAAATTGCTGTATTCTTAGGAGGAGGAAAAAGGGTTTAATTTAAGTTTGTTGAATGATCTTACAATAGGCCGGGAACCTGAAAGACTTGCTGAAGAAAAGGCCCAGATCTTAGAGCAAACTGAGCACTTGGCCTTTAATAACTACAAGACATTCATCAAAACTGCAGAATGCTCCAAAGAAATTTTTAATGATGTAAGTCAACTGAACTAATGGTGTTAGGGGAAAAGAGCTGTGCATGAAATCTACTAAATACCTCAAAGATGTTTATAATTAATTTCCTGTGATAAGTTCCAGCTAAAAGTTAGCAAGTTTTCAAGTTGTTGTTGTTGAAGGGTTCATGTTTTTTAGGTTAAAATAAATGTGATGCACTGAGGAAATCTCAGGGAAATCAATTTGATGTTTTACAATTACTTATCTCAAGGTTCAAGTTACCAGGGAACAAAGTCATTTGACAGCAATGTTATCGATAATTGTCTTGTGCATTCCTCTGCGTATGCGTGATTAAGATGTACCAAGAAGTTGAAAATACTCCTAAGACTTCTAAGAGATTTACACTTTAATTATCTAAGCTCAAATTTCACATTCTGATGAAAAATCTTGAACGATCTTTCTTGCTTTAAGGAGTACCCCGTCGAATACACAAGTCAGAGAATTTTAATTCTCAGTGGGTTAGAAGACCCCATCACAGCACTGTAAAGACAATTGGTAGTGTTGTAAAAGCCTGATTTGATGAAACCTTTATTGCAGTTTGTGTCAGTGGAGGAGCATGTTGAGTCACTTCTGAACAAGTTACCAACATTTTCTGAAACATGTAGCAATTTCATGAAGGTGGCACAGGAAATCAATACTAGGTAAACAAGTGCTGGTATAATTTTTTTCTGCTATTCAGACAAGCATTCAGATTACAAGTAACACTTGTTTTTACTTTTCACTTGTAGTCGTCATTTAAATTCTCTGACATTAGCACGCCATACACAGCTGCTAGAGATTTTGGAAATCTCACAAGTAAGTTTAAATTGGTGATTTTCTGAACTTAGCTTTAGTTCACTTATATACACAAGCATTTTGGATGGGGGAATATCCAAGGATTAAGACCTATGACCTTTAAAAATAGAAACAGTCCAAGACCTCTGTCTGATGATATTTCTAGCACTAGCATTGGCTAAATCAGTAAGTCCTTCATTCCAAATGTGAAAGCACAAGGGTACTCAAACTTATAATAATAATAGTATTATAATAACTTGTATTTATATAGCGCTCATATCTTGAACTCATGGCACTTTATTGTATGAGGGACTTTACCAGACTGCTAAGCAGTTTACAGTCAAATAAAGGCGAATATGACAGATGCCCCCTCCCCCCAATTCCCAGTAACCAGGCCAGACCACATCACAGTAATCTCGTGAAGTGGGTTCTTTAACGTCCCCTGCCTAACCAAATTAACTAATTAATAGATGCAGGAGACGGGACCTCCATTTATTCGTCCCTATCTGAGAAGACTAGAATATCTAACCATTTCTTGGTTGATGTTATAGAAAGGTAGCATATTCTTCTCAATTATTTTAAGACCCTGAGTGTTGGTCTGGCCGGGGCTTGAACCCTCGACCTCCTGCACAACAGGCTGGCACTTAACCAATTGAGCTAACCGGGAGGCTCAACTTGAATTACACATTTTACTGGCTAGATGTAGAATTGAATTACTGGTAAACATACTTTTATTATGAATTAGCTCTGCCACCCCCCCTACCTAACTACTGAATTAATCTGAAAGAACTCCAATAATGACAGAGCTTTACTTAGTCATCTATGTTCTGTCTGAACTATCCTTGGTGACATTTTTTTACATGTACCTGTGTAGCACCAAAACTTGAATTTGCACTATCACTAGACACAACAAGTGCCAACACTATTGTAGTGACAATCAGACATGAGAAACATTATTCAAGTTCTGTTAGTCTTAATTTACATTGCTATAATTGTAGTTGTTAATCCGGGGGACTGTTAGTTTTAAATTTGCATTGCTATTGTTGACGTTTATCCAGACTGGTCAGCAGACTTTTGTGGAGTCGCCATGTTTTAAAGGCATGAGGTTTTTTGTAGATTTAAACCTTTTAAAGGAGGTCTATTACAGTCTGCCTTTTATGACAACTATCAATAGTTTTAGAACCATCTTTGTTTTCAGGGGACATGTCTATGGTATTTCTTATTTCATTATTGTAATTTTTCTATTGCTATCATAGATTTGGTACAAAGTTAGTTTATTCCCATTTCAAATTAACTATGCCATTTCATTTTCCATAGTCTACCATCTACAGTACATTGTTCTTACTGACCTGACACTTAGACTTACAATTACCTCATCTAATTGCAAGGGTGATATTTTACAGGGTTCTCTGTCTGAGACAAATAAGAAAAGAAAGAGGAATGAGTACCAGTGCCCTTGCCAACAGTTTACAATACTAACAATAAACATTGGTTGTCCAGTGTTCTGTAGCTATCTTTGTTTTTCTGCAAGAAATCTATGAATTGTTATGTTTGCAGTTGATGGATTCGTGTGTACGGAATGGTTACTATGAAGAAGCACTGGAACTTTCATCCTATGTGCAGAGACTAGAAAAGAAGCTTTCTAATATTCCTATTATCCAAAACATTGTTGATGTTGTACAGTCATCAACTCAACTGATGCTTTCTCAGCTGTTACAGCAGCTGCGCTCAGCCATCCAGCTTCCTGCATGCCTGCGTGTGATTGGATACCTCAGGCGTCTTGATTTGTTTTCTGAATCTGAATTAAGGATCAAGGTTTGTGAGGAGACCAAAATTACTGTTCAAGTTTCATTTTATTATCAACCAGATAACTGCGTATATTTTTTGTATCTTGAAATGTCACGCATATCATTGCTAAGGATATTACAAACGTTTTTCTAAGCAAGTCAGTCTATGAAAAAAATCCAGTTCCTGTCCCTTACAGTATTTACATTAAAATACTTCTGACATTTGATTTAAAACTTCCTGTTTGCAGTTCCTTCAAGCCCGTGATACATGGCTTCAAAGTGTTCTTGCATCAATCTCTTCAGATGATCCTTATTATCACATTACAAAGACCATTGAAACCAGTCGGGTACATTTATTTGATATTGTCACACAATATAGAGCTATCTTCTCTGATGATGACCCAATATTATCCATGGAAAATGAAGATAGTCCAATTTATGGCAATTTGTTCCACTGCTGGATTTTGCAGAAGGTAGGATTGAATTAATGAATGAAAGGAATAGCTCTTTTCCCTTAACCACCTCCTGGTTAGCTCAATTGGTAGAGTGCCGGACTGTTGTGTGGGAGGTCATGAGTTCAAATCTGGCAGGACCAACACTCGGGGTCTTTAAATAACTGAGAAGAAAGTGCTGCCTTTGTAATAATATCTGCAAATGGTTAGACTTTCTAGTCTTCTTGGATAGAGATGATGAATGGAGGTCCTGTCTCACAAGCCCTTGTATGTGATAAAAAATTTGTGGGACGTTAAAGAACCCACACACTGTTCGAAAAGAGTAGGGCACGTAGTGCCCGGTGTTGTGGTCTATCTTTGTGTAGTGTCTATCAAATTGAAGGGGGGTACTGCACCTTTGAATATTGTATAGAAAGGGTGCAATATAAATAAGGAATTCATTTATTCATAAGGAATTCATTCATTCATTCATTCCCTCCATTTTATTGGCAAACATGTTTTAAAGTACATAGACTGTAACTTTGGAGGGTGTGATTTGTGCTACTGAAAACAGAAAAGCATGTCAACCATTTTCCAGGGGGAGAGAAAAATTCCAAATGAATAAACAAATGTTCTACCATTTGTCTCACATATTTTTGTATGTTTAAGGATTGTGATATAAATCAAAGAAAAATAACAACCAAGAACACATACAATTTTCAACAGGACTAAGTGTCAGTTTCCATTCTATTGTAAGATAATCCTTGTTCCACAGGACCATGCAGTTTCTTTTAAATTAATATGTGATGCAGCTCCCTCCATCATTTGTATGTCTGTCAAGATGCTAAATTATTTTATTTCTTTCTCAGGTGCAGCAATTCTTGAAAACTTTAGAGAATGACTTGAAGGGAGGGGTTGGAAACCGTCTTGACTCACTGCTTGGTCAGTGCATGTACTTTGGTTTGTCATTCAGCCGTGTGGGAGCAGACTTTAGGGGTCTTCTTCCTCCCCTCTTTCATGCTGCAGCCCTGAAATCATTCAACACAGAAGTACTTAATGCCACTAACAGGTATTCAAAGTGCCCTTGCTATTAAAAAAAAAAAAAGAGTGTTCTTCTTCTTACTCCATTCCAGTGAATGTGCTTTGTCGAAGAAGGACTGTTACATGTAAGTGGAAGGTAATGTAGAACTGGTCAACAGTTCAAAGGAGAAATAATCATGGTGTAAATCAGCCATTTGACATTGAATTTTTACTTATTTGTCAACTTCATTTTTGCCTGGATTAAGATCAAAATAAAATAATTTATTATGATCATATTATTGAGTACTTTAAACATCAGTTGTGTCTCACGTTTCATAATACTTGCATAAAACTGAAAGGAGGAATTATTTCCATCAAAGTTTGTAGAATTGACTCATTTGAATTTCGTTAAATAAGATCACTGTTTCTTTCCTACAATGCGATTTGCTAATTTTGTTTAACTGAGTGACCCCAGTTATGATATAGACACTTTACATGAATGTCATTTATGGAAAAAAGTAAAATTTTCTGCAAATTCAAACTCTGCATTTCAATGAGTGAACCTGGGAAGTGGAATGTTGCAAGCAATCTAAAAATTTTGGTAAAGCATGATCTGTTTGTACATCAAATGATTTGTTTATAGCCCACTTCATTTCTTGTTTCTTTAGATTTAATAAAGCCATGAAATCATACTCACCACAGCCAGTTCCCTCTACAGTCACATCCACAACAATGTCTACAATGACAACCAAGGTAATTGAACATACAGTGGTTCCTACTCTCTGTTATTTTTGGGATAGATCTATTTATTAACAACAACAACTTTGACTTTATTTTTTAAAATGAGAGAAATAAAGGCTTTTGTAGCCCTCAGTTAGCAGAGCTATTCTAGGCGGGCTACCTAAACAGACACTGTATAGGCTCTCACACATACACACACACACACACACACACACACACTGCTCCCGTTTCTTTAAAAATGTTTAGGCAAAGCTTGCTTATCGAGGCTGCGGATTCATCTTGCAGCCTCTCAGGCACTCCCACAATTTTTACATTATACTGGAAACTATGTTCTTGAATTTCGTCAATAGCATTTCCAATAATATCTACCTTGGCTTTCAGCTCTTCTAGTTTGGCGCTTAGTCGCTGGAGTTCGTCTTTGGCCATGCCGCTAAAGAGATGGAAGTCGTCGTATTTCTTGCTCAAGAACTAGCTTTATCAACATTATATTCAGTAATCGCTGTCATTGTAAAAGTTGGTGTGATAACAAGGTTTCAAGGTGTAAATTTGTGTAAATACACTGTACATAGTCAAGGTATTGTGGGCGCATTCATGTATGTCATACATTGCACCACATTCAAGAACTCTTCATCATATATTTGGTGGACCCCATAGCTTTTGTGGAACAGAATTGTATAGTGCAGTTAATCTGAATACAAATGAGAGGTGCTTTGTCCTCATATTTTGGCCTATGTTAGTGCTCATTTTGGTGACAATTTTCTGAGTTGATTTACAATAAAGATTTTTTCCTAAATTTTCAGTGGTTGACTTAAATCAAATCATCATCTGTTGCATGGATAATGATAAACTTTCCTGTTAATTGAAGTTGTTTGTTTTTAAAGACGATTTTGCCAAATTCATGTCAGTTGCATGTGACATTTTCATGAACGGTTATTTTTATGAACATGTGTAGTTGAAATGTATTTGATATGTCTTTGTTGTCTCGACAGCCTGATGAGCTTAATCCTCCCATTGAATTGTTACAGCATCCTCCATTGGCAGCATTTATCAACAGTATTCTCTCTGCTTTTAACAATTTGAGGCATTGTGCCCCTATATCCCTTGCATCACCTGTTACTGATAGTGTGTGCAGTGCACTGAAAACAATCATACAGTCTACATGTGCATTCCACAGGTAAGGAAATAGGTTAGAGTGGTTATAGAGGTCTGAGGTGGTTTTGTGGTGTAACACGGTGTGGCATTTTTACTCATTTACAAAAGTTGAGGTTCCTGTCATTTTGGTCTTATCGGAAATTTTGGTTTTGAATACAGAACCAAAAAGCACAAAACTTTTCAAAATACTTAAATTATTAGCAATCTACGTCCGAGTGACACTAAGATTCTCGCAACTCTTAACTGGTTTTGAACTTTTACTGAATCAAATAACTTGCAAATATCAGTCGGTTCGCTGTCTTCTTCTCGTTTCCAGGGCAGAAGCAGCAGCTCTTAATGAAACAGAAAGATCCTCGTTTGCCAATTTTTGTCAAGTGTTGGGAAAAAAAGTGATACCTTACATGGAGGAATGCTTAGAGGCATTTTTTCCGAGTTCAGTCTTGACCAATTTGTGTGGGGGCAGTTTCCTTGCAACTGATATGCGGCTTGATGTCGACACCTTATTGGTTCTTCTGGAACCCGTCATGCCACAGGACTCCACACAGGAGAAAGAAAAGCCTCCTTGCCATGACAATGAGGCTAAAACCAGAGAAGATGATCGAATAAAAGATCAAGAAGACTCGGAGTCAAAGGAAGGCAGCCCTTTAAACGAGGAACCAAATGAAAAAGTTAACGAGAAACTCCCAGATAGTGAACAGCGAACACAAGATTTGACCCAAGTTGAAGCTGTGCTGAGATAGATAGCTATAATAACATTAATGATAACAATATTAAACCGGCCATCGGTATAGACTGGACTAGAATGGAGCAAATGATGACCAGAGCGTTGATAAGGTTGAGCAGACTCTTCTGAACCCGAAGGAATTACGAAAGACTCTTAAAGAAAACCAACTAAATTCGAATGTGCTACGAACTCTTAAAACCCAGATGTCGACGCACAAATCGAGATTACTAATAACATGGACTGACAGTTAATTTATTACGTATGATGGACGATCCTCGCAGTAGATAGCGCTATTTGAGCAATAGCGAAATTCAGACCTGAAAAAAATCAGGCCTGTACGGGACTCGAACCACTGACCTCTGCGATACTAGTGCAGCGCTCTAACCAATTGAGCTAACAAGCCAACTGAGAGCAGGCCGTTAAGTTGATTCGTAATGAACCCGTGAAAGTGATAAATGAGATAGAATAAATATATGAAAATCATATATTTTGAACTGCGGTATTTGATACGTATGATGGACGATCCTCGCAGTAGATAGCGCTATTTGAGCAATAGCGAAATTCAGACCTGAAAAAAATCAAATACCGCAGTTCAAAATATATGATTTTCATATATTTATTCTATCTCATTTATCACTTTCACGGGTTCATTACGAATCAACTTAACGGCCTGCTCTCAGTTGGCTTGTTAGCTCAATTGGTTAGAGCGCTGCACTAGTATCGCAGAGGTCAGTGGTTCGAGTCCCGTACAGGCCTGATTTTTTTCAGGTCTGAATTTCGCTATTGCTCAAATAGCGCTATCTACTGCGAGGATCGTCCATCATACGTATCAAATACCGCAGTTCAAAATATATGATTTTCATATATTTATTCTATCTCAGTTAATTTATTGATAAAATTTTCAGGGTTGAAACAGCTTTTTGCGTTGTTTATTTCGTTTAGTAAAAGTCTCTCTCAAACTGGGGTCGAGTGACCTATGCTCAGAACGGATTTTAGTTCTGTGAACAACCAATCACTCTAAAACAGACTTGAGGTCCGCATGTTTTATCTCTGAAATTTGCTTTTGATGATTTTTTTTCCGGAATTAATTGCTTTTCTCTTCAGTATTTCCTCTTTGGTGTACCGTCCTGTCTTAGGGCACAGACAACCCTCCTTGGCGGACCTGTAATTAGAGCCCGTCGCTTTCACTTTCTTTTCCAAAACTCGGGCTGTAAAAGTGAAGTCTCTAAGACAGATAACGATCGATTTAGGTTGGATTTTACCAAGTCGTAATCGTAACCAGAAGCGCAGAGCGTTAAAATCTGGTGAAAATTAAAGCGATCAAAATAGGTGTTGCTTATGACTCGAAGGCCGAAAAGCTGCTAATTGGCTGCAGTAAACTGGTTCTTCCTCCTTCGATTGCAACCCCGACAGTGTTGGTCTCCCTGGATCATTAAGTAACATAATCAGGAGCAATGGAAACGTCCTGTACAAGTAAATTTGGACCTATCGCATGGATCAATTTCGAGCTACGTGTGACTTCGGGTTCGAGTAAGGAGGGCTTGAAATTAAAAGAAGATATAGTTCACATGTTATGATGAGTACCGGAGGTGTTAGTCTACTGAAGAGTTTTTGTATTAGAGAGAAATAAAACAAAAAATGGTGCAGTTTTATTACACGATGCTTGGTTTTCGCTTAAACGAAAATGTCAACAGAGTATCCGGGAGAACGGATTTAAACAATAGAGAGTTTGAACTACACCCCAAAATAATAAACGATGTCGGAAGTTCTTTTTCACAATGTTCACTGATCACTTTCCAGCCGTAGCAGGCATCACATTAGTATAAACTCTGTGAACGCTTACCAGGTGGTGAAAAAACATCTAACTGCTGAATAGATTTCTACATTTCTCCAGAACAAAAATTTAGAAAGGAAAATGTATGGAGTCATATTCATCCAAGTCACTGTCATACACATCCTCTACTTCAGTATCTAACGCCTCTAGCTCTAAACTGGTGAAAAACCGCTCTAGAAGTTTACGAAGCGGGATCATGCAAATAATGAGGAAAGGAAATGCTGGCGCAACAACAGTGAGTTTCAAGGCTACAAGCGCGCATACACAACACACTTGCACAATCGTAAACAGGTGCATTTTTCTCGTTTTCACATTCGTCACAAATTTTTCAACGGGATGGTGGGAAGCAGGTATAAAAAGTAATTTGATTCGCTTGACCAGCTGAATGTGGGATAAAGATGAAACCCCGAGGAAAAGGAACACTCCAAACAGAACAGCGATTGGAATAAGACGCATCACCGGCGATAGAAGAACAGTGAAGCCAATAAGAAGGTGGATCACAATGTTCGTGAGGCGTTGTTCTCTGACTTGTACCAGACGAGGATGTTCCCCCGGTGCATGGTTAGTACTAAGCACTGTCAGGGCGTGAAAGTGAGACAATGTATGAACAGGGGTGGCACACATCCACGGAAGGCCCAGAACTGAGCACAGGCCAACTAGTAGTCCCAGAACAAAGAGATCTAGGTTGTAACCCACGCCTTTCTTCAATTTGTGTTCTTTTTTGTCCAGAATAATCCCGGTGAATTCAATTTCCATGAAAATCAAGATGCTGACAAGAACTGCGGGAATGAAAGCTCCAGAAATGGCGACAGCACTCATGTGCTGTTGTTCTCCCATGGGGTTAATAAGCCAGCTATTTCTGTTGGGTGAGGAAACAGAAAAACCATCCGGGACTGATAACTTTTGAGTGTACACACCTTCTGTCAACCAACCAACTGTCACCATGGAAACAATAGCGATGAAAACCCCAAAATCACTGACTATGCGACGAGCTTTGGGTCCAAAGAAATGACTGTGATGTAACTTTCTCAAGGTGTAAGCGACAAAGAAGGTTCCCAGCATCAAAACTGTGGTGAGCAGAGCTGTGTTCGCCGTTGACTGATTCCCTACAGATTTTCCTTTCGTAGGATTGGTCGAATTTTTTGGAACCAACAGAGTAGTAGCGACGTCTGCGTTCAAAGGATACAGATCAAAGATATGTCTCACATAATTAAATGCGTAGTAAATAAAAATGATAGATATCACTAAGGCAAATATTTCTTCTGTAAAACGTGTAAAATATTTGATGAGAAAACATCCCTCAACGGCGACAATGATAAAACATATCACCATCACCCATATTCCAACCCAAGCTCGCCAAGGGAGAAACTCAATCTCAAATCGCTCGCTCAATTGAAATATACTCTTCTCGAAAATGAGTAATGGACCCGTAGCTCCTATTATGATCAATGGCTGTCCTGCAAAGAGGCCAAATAGAACTCCTGATAATGCTGTTGCAAATATCATCTCTGAAACTCCCATCCATGCGTTGGTTTTCTCGCTCAGCAAACCGCCGAAGGCGATTGTAGGAGCGAGGCAAGCGAAATACACAAAGATGATTGTTGGTAGACAATGAACGTCCAAAGCGTCTTTGAAATCACTCAAGTAGAAAGGAAATCGCCTTTTAACGTCTCGTATAAGTCCACCACAAAATTTTCCCGTTCTAGACAAAGGGTCATCACACACTTCATTTTCTTGAAAACCCTCGCGAAATCTTTCATTTGGTTTGTCCTTGCTTTGTATTCCTCCGCTTCGTCTCCTTAAGGCTAATTCCTTGGTTTGACTGGCTAAGATGGGTATTGTTTGACTTAGTAGATTTCGATCCCAGTCTCCTGGAGGAATTATGAGGCTGTCTCCCATAAAGCTGAATAGAGAATCCAGAAGATCCTGCTGACGCTGAAACATAGACAATCAAATTTTTCAGTTCCCCTTCGAGTCAAAATCACTTAATTGTTAGCGAACTAGCTCGTAACCACTTTGAAAAAGCCATTCCAAGTTATGTGTTACTGAAGATCGTAATCAACTGACTTTCCAGGAGTAAAACATGATATCATGTTTATTGAAGAACCAGTTTTATCGTGAAATTTATGGGTACATACTTATTTTTTGACTCCTTGAATAGCATTCAACGCGCTTTAATTATTTTAAGTATAAGACTACGCAAAAAGGAAGGCTGATCGATTAAGAACTGAGGAAGTTACCTTGGCCAGATAAGCAGATTCCAGGAAGAGTTTATCTGCCATAAGAGTTGCAAAAGATCGCCCGACTTCATGATAGTCTATCCTGTCATCGTTAGGTCCCACCAGGATAAAAATAAACCTGATAGGAATCTGTACTTCAGCTAAGTTACTCAGTTCGCATCCTTTGGCGAGTCTTATAAAAGCACTGACGGTGCAAGACAAGCCATTATGAGCCCCAACCAAAACAGTGGTTGCTTGAGAATTTTCCGGAAGTCTCCCTCTCAGATCTGATTTTTTGTTGTGATCGTCAAACTGTTCGACGAACCCTTCAACGGGATCAGGGCTGAAACTCACTGCTACGTTTGCTGGAAACTCGCTGACATCTTGTTTGCTGTCAATGGAGGGTAACATGTTTTGTTCGAGACTAAGCTGCGGTCTGAAATCAAAGAAGGATCATCGTATAAATAAATAATTAGCATTGCTTTTTTAAGTCGGTCAATCCTGGCCTTAGAATTCCATGTGAAAGGAAATTTCATGAGTCCAGCATGTAATAAAGATTGCGATGATATAAACAAGATACGATGACACTTCAGATCGAAAAAAAAATTCCTTGGACATTCGTTTTAATTCAAAATTTCTTCGTGGCTTTGTTTCGTCAAAACAGTGGTTATATGAAATCTCTTAAGCATACGTCCTTGGAAGTAAGGGTACCCAAGGAAGTGTACCAATCTCTTGATTGTATTTAGTATTATATTTTAATTGACAGTAGACATTTTTTTCAAAGAGTCAAATAAGATTATTATTCCACCAAACTCAAAGACGTGCAAAACGACAAAACTCTAAAGGGGAAAAAACAAACTGAGCTCTCCGCTCTCATGTAATCAGTCTGTGCACCTTGTAACTTCGGAAAATTTGAGTGCCAGCCCGTTTCGAGTAGGTATCTTGGGAGGTATAACAAAACACTTAATGACTGGCTTAAACAGAAACAGCGAGCTTTGTTCCCTCAACCGTCAAGATTTCGGGGAAAAAACTTGCTGTCACCCTTGGACCAGTAATAAAGTGCCTACCAGTTAAAGAGTAAAAAAAGGTCACCCACTTAGCTTGGTGCCAATCCTCATACCTTTCTCTTAAATTGTGGACATCTTCCGAAACATTCGTCCTGGAGCGCTGTCCATTAGGCATGATCCGTGACCGGCGCCTGGCGAAGTTTTGAACTCGTTTTCCACTTTTATGCTGATGATGATGTTCATGTCTTGTCATTAGAAGAGTTTTCACTACGAGGCATTCACTATCTTCCAGCTTTTTCAGCGTTTTGATTTCATCAATAATTGCATCCCAAATGGAAGGCAGAGTATCTCTATTGAGATCCAACAAACACACTCCATTTTGAAGATTCGTTTCAACCTCTCTAAGGCTCCGATATGTCAAACACGGCACATGAGGTTTCCCCCATCGATCGGCACATTCATCGACGTCTTCTTCGAGCTTTATCCACCGCGCACTTTCTTTCCAAATCAGTTCATCATCACAACTGACTAGTTCCTCCAATTCCACAAATCCTTCATACGGAGAACAAGTGGATTGATCAATCGGAATATTTTCGATAGAGGTCATGTCGGAACAGCGTATGTGGTCTACATAACTCTAGCCGTCCTTCCATACACTTGTTATTTACACAATGCGGGTTTACTCTCAGAATTTATGACGTCACCAATTCCTTTCATGACGTTTGACTTCAGTGAAAAGTAAATTTCACGGGGAAATATTTCCAATCCTTGATTCCACACAAGGCTGTCTTGCTTACAACGGAATAAAATGTATAATTACAAATAAATGGGTCTAAAAGGGGTGGATGTGGGGTCGGGAAATATTCAGTAGATGCGCTAAATGTTTATATTTACCGTGTGGAGAAATTGAACAAAGAACAGTAATGATATGACTTCGGGGAAACACCTAAGGTTTATAAAAATTAACATGATTGATCACCAGGGTAAATTGACCATACAATATCCGACCAAAATTTCCGGGATCTTATTGGTTTCCTTTAGTTATATTAGTAGGGCTCATAGCGCACTCTGCGCGCGCAGCATAGAGAGTAAGTTATTCAATGAATATATGAATATGGTGCATGATCCTCGCAGTAGATAGCGCTATTTAAGCAATAGCGAAAATCAGACCTAAAAAAAATCAGGCCTGTACGGGACTCGAACCACTGACCTCTGCGATACTAGTGCACAAATAGCGCTCTCTACTGCGAGGATCGTGCATCATACGTATCTAATACCGCAGTTCAAGATATATGAACTTCATATATTCATTGTATCTGATTTATCATCACGGGTTTATTACGAATCAACTTAACGGCCTGCTGCCAGTTGGCTTGTTAGCTCAATTGGTAGAGCGCTGCATTAGTATCGAAGAGGTCAGTGGTTCGAATCCCGTACAGGCTTGATTTTTTTCAGGTCTGATCTTCGCTATTGCACAAATAGCGCTCTCTACTGCGAGGATCGTGCATCATACGTAGAGTAAGTTATGTACATATATCTTATTAACCAAGCGCGAGGGCCGTACCGGGAGAATACAAAAAAGAACGAGGGCCATTATTCTTCCAGTACGGTCCTGAGCAAGCTTGGTCAATAAAAGATTTATTATACGACTGAAGTTCAAAGGGACACAAGTGTGGTATCATTCGGGACCATTTCGGACAGTGCCCGGTTCAATACTGAGAGAATATTGACCGGCAATAGAGCATTTTTATTGGTTGATTTTAGTTATTGGCCCTCTGACTGCCCGAGTCGTGTAATAATTCTGTATATCCGCACGACACACCGAATAGAGAGCATGTGACGAGATGCATTGCACGTGCAACACGGCGTGTAAAACGTATGCAACATTCAACAAAGGCGGATAATCAAAGGTCTTCCTTCCATCTTGATCTAAATAAACATTTGGGACGTCAAAAATGAAGAGCGCATATGCTAAAGAAGACTCAAATCTCTTAAAGGTAAACGTCAACTAAAGCCCAAAATCTGACAAAATAGGCTTTTGACTTCACCAGGCGAAGTCCCCTCGAGAATTCTTGGCCACCAAGAGCCATAATTGCCAATTATGGCTCTTGTGGCGACTTAGTTGGAGACTACCGCTGCCCAGTAACTTTACACGAAACTTCAGTTGAAAATGAAAACCGAACTCGCTGACTTCAGGGGATTTTCTTTATTTGGAAAATTTCCCTCGCTTGTTGAATATTAATTTTAATCACAATACTTCCAATCAAATAACAGTCATAATTTTCCAAAAAAAAGTTGGCTAATTTTCTGTACAAGAAATCAGAAAAAAAAAGCCAAGTATGAATGCACGTATTGCTTTCGTATAATCTCTTATTTCTATTTATTGTTTTCGGGTAAACAAGCGATTATTGGTTAAGCCTGTTAAACTTACATGTATGCGGACACAAAACGCAGTATACACAATAACTCGACAAATGAGGGCTTTAATGTGTCAACTTTGCTTAAATTATGTTACAACAGCGTTTTCTCCTTCTCAAGGGAACATGATGGGAAAAATGCAGCTATTTTTGAAATTAAGTTCAATAAATACAATACTGTTATTTTCTTATTAGTTCATTAATCATTATTTACAAATAAATTTATGGCCGAGTTGTTTTTGTTTTAGTTCAAGACACATTCTCAATCCAGACACATATTACAACAACAATGATTGCCTCATCCTCTCATGTTGTAACATATGGCCCAGACGTAGAAATTTACATAAATTCCCCGCAATATTGAAGGCTGCTTTAATTATTTTGTTTTATCGCGGGGAGGATGCGGATGACAAATAAAAATAGAGAAAGTAGGAGATATAAAGGAAACCAGTTAGGTAAACTGTGGTGTAACAGTACCTTATTTCAAAATCTAATTTCAGTCACCTCTAAGTTTTCATTTTTTGCCCACAAAAAACTCCTCTTAGCCTAAACATTGTCTGAATACTCATTGTGACCAAGATTAAGAGCCTATTGAGGATCAAACTACTTACTAAAAAAATCATTATTTTACCTACGTGCATATCAATTTTTTAAAAAATCTTATTTGTGCTGTAAAAACTAAGGCTTTGTTTCCTTTTTTTCGTTTAGACCGATCAACACAGATCAACACTTTCATGGTAAAGTAGCTGCCTAACTTCATGTTTACGGTAAAACCTTTAGGTTAAGAAGTAAAGATGGCGTGTATATGCGAGGTTCCAAAGTTTGCCCTCCCCCCTACCCCTTCCCTTTGAGGCCAATACCAGGCTCTCAGTTAGAGAACTGAGCGAAAAAGTGGCTGCGTTTGAAGTTTGATTGACAAAGAACTGTTTGCTCATAGTGAAGCTAGTAGAGAAAGTCGAAGAGTACTTCAAAGTCGCCATTTTGTCACTATTTCCTTGTCCACGAGCCTCCTTCTTTGGCTTTCTTTGATCGTAACTGAAAGGTTGGCGTGAATGTGAGGATCATTCTTGAGCGAAAAACGATTGCTGCTGACAATCCTCCAAAAGCGGAGATAGCTTTCGCGACGTGGGAAATAATAAATAAGACTTGTCCCGATGCCAAAAGTTAGTTAGTCTTCACTGACGGAGAGCCTGGAACGGGAAAGCTACCATCTTGCTGACTAATTTTATTTTTTACCCATAAAATTTTGTCAGTGCATGCATTTTAAAGACAGGTTGCTGACCAGCAGCAGGTTACCGTTTAACACTCGTGAGCGTGACAGTACTTCCCTGTTCACAGTCAAGTATTACCATTGACTCGCATGTCCTGTTGTAGCTTGTGTCACTGCAGTTAGCCACTGAACTCTTTTTGTGTTTGTTTGCTGGACCAGCCTGGCAAAGGGAATGTAAAAAAAGTCGATAATTGAATTTTTGGTATCTATCTTTTCGAACACACTGATTGGCTTACTGGGAGGTGATTAGTAAACTACTTTAAACCACTGGGCAAGCGAAGAAACACAAAATTACTTCCCGTTTCACTGCAGTTTATGAAATCATTTCTGTTTTGTTTTAAAAAAAATTTACAAAAATTGCAACGATGCCTGGTTTGACGACGCTGAAAAAGTTTTCGTAAATCGAAGAGAGAGAGAGGAGACATTTAACGCTGCGTGCGGCTGCAAAATGTCTCTGAGGGATTGGCAGTTAAACAGGAATATCAAGAAATTCTGCATCTCCACAGGAAAGCAAGACTGAATTTTTGGGGAAGAAACATTCTCTTTGCGAATGAACATGAGCATGAGCATGAGCATGAGCATGAGGATGATCACGAGCACGAGCATGAGCACGAGTGAGCCGTAATAAACTTGTTAGCTCAATTGGTAGAGCGCTGCATTAGTATCGAAGAGGTCAGTGGTTCGAATCCCGTACAGGCTTGATTTTTTTCAGGTCTGATCTTCGCTATTGCACAAATAGCGCTCTCTACTGCGAGGATCGTGCATCATACGTAGAGTAAGTTATGTACATATATCTTATTAACCAAGCGCGAGGGCCGTACCGGGAGAATACAAAAAAGAACGAGGGCCATTATTCTTCCAGTACGGTCCTGAGCAAGCTTGGTCAATAAAAGATTTATTATACGACTGAAGTTCAAAGGGACACAAGTGTGGTATCATTCGGGACCATTTCGGACAGTGCCCGGTTCAATACTGAGAGAATATTGACCGGCAATAGAGCATTTTTATTGGTTGATTTTAGTTATTGGCCCTCTGACTGCCCGAGTCGTGTAATAATTCTGTATATCCGCACGACACACCGAATAGAGAGCATGTGACGAGATGCATTGCACGTGCAACACGGCGTGTAAAACGTATGCAACATTCAACAAAGGCGGATAATCAAAGGTCTTCCTTCCATCTTGATCTAAATAAACATTTGGGACGTCTAAAATGAAGAGCGCATATGCTAAAGAAGACTCAAATCTCTNCTGCAAAATGTCTCTGAGGGATTGGCAGTTAAACAGGAATATCAAGAAATTCTGCATCTCCACAGGAAAGCAAGACTGAATTTTTGGGGAAGAAACATTCTCTTTGCGAATGAACATGAGCATGAGCATGAGCATGAGGATGATCACGAGCACGAGCATGAGCACGAGTGAGCACGAGCACGAGTGAGCACGAGCACGAGTGAGCACGAGCACGAGTGAGCACGAGCACGAGTGAGCACGAGCACGAGTGAGCACGAGCACGAGCATGAGCACGAGCATGAGCATTTCAATGACCAACTATAATTAAAAAAATGACGAAAGTGACGTCAGTTTTCGTAACTTATTCAGCATGTAAGGTGTACAATGTTACAATCGTTCACCTCAGAGTCAGTGGAAAAAGGAAGATATCCACAACTGCTCACCTACACTACATTTGCGAGGCGCCAGCCTTGCAATTTAGTTGGTTTTTTAACTTTACACCCACAATCATTTAAAACGCCCCACGTCTGACTCTCCTTCCAGCAATACGGAAATTACGACCGATTCAGTGGAACATTTCAGATTTTTTTTAAAAACAAGTCTTGAACTCGGCATGTCAAAAAGTCTACTTTTCCATGGCCGAATACGGAAGAAAAGGAGTTGGGGAGACAGAAGAATGAATGGGGTGGGGGAGGAGGGAATACAAAGGACCAGAGGGGGGAGGTGGTCCGGACCCGTGCTCTCAGTTTGTTTCACTCTAAATCTTTCGTCAGACAAAGATTACTATTCTTTGCCGAAAATGGGAAATTATAGAGGTTAACCGCCCGCAGAAAGTGTTGGCTTTCACAAAGTCGATGAGCGTAATAAAGGTTAACACTGAACAGTGTTTCAAGTAAAGTTAATAAATCCAAAGTTCCTAAAGTAACGGTTTCCCGGGCGACTGTGTCTGGAAAAGGGGCCGTGAGGCGAAGATTAAAACACGAGCGCCTGCTTGCAGGCCCAACTGCACACGGCGGTAAGAGGTCTTTTTATTGAAACACCTGCTAACACAGTGGCGGATCCAGGGGGAGGGTCCGGGGGGTCCGGACCCACCCTATCAAACCTGACGCTTACAACTTTGAGACAGGATCGTACATCACTTTTAACTGGCTGATTTTTTAAATGAATCCAAATAAACGGTAAGCGGCCAAGGAATTAGAACGTGCAACCGCGACTGGTGGGAGGGGGTGTGGGGGAGAAGTAATTTGCCTCAAAGAGTCCAACAGTCCTTTCTGAACCAAAGTTTGGATCCCCCCCAATCAAAAATTCCTGGATCCGCCTCTGTAACATGGTCTTAATTCAAATGCCGGTGTCCTAGCGGATTTGGCCCCCCTTAGATTTGGACCCCCCGGCCCAGATCTGCTAGCGGATGTGGGTTGTGGGTCTCGGTCCGGGTTGGGGCTAGTTTTAGGGTTAGCGTTAGGGTTAGGGTTGCATGAAACAAACGATGCTTTAATTTAAAGCAAAGTTTAGTAGGGGGGTCCAGATTAGCGAAGGGGAGGGGTCTATATCCGGTAGCGGATTTAGACCGGGTGGGTCCAAATCCGCTAGCAGATATGGACCGGAGGGTCCAAATCCGCTGTGATACCGGTGCATGTCTTGTTAAGATTTGATTCGTGCTGTACTTAACATCACAACTGTGGATGAGCAAGAGAGGAAATCAAATCAAAGGGTTGAGATAAAACAACCGTGTTTATTTACAAGCTAACTACAGTCCTCGACCGACAGTAATCGACAGGGTGAAAAAGTATTAAGATACATTTCTGCAAATGTTACACGAATAGCCTTCCACCAAAAGATAACTAGATTTATTTCTTAGCTTCGAGCAACTGTTTACTTGAACCATAATAACGCTGACGTACGTTTCTCCACTCAGATTTTAGACTTAAAACCCCAACAAAGTACAACAATTTTTGTCAACTGCGACGTCACACCAGTTAATAAAAGGCTGAAAACTTACATCATCTCACAAATTACGTTACATTGAAAACTCGTTAAGAGCAGATGAAATTGTGCACCAACAACAGATTTCGTCGTTCCTAATTATTTTGTTTTTAGTCTCAAATCTACCAAGGAAACATCGATCGCACTGTAAAAAGATCATCAGTTACAGTCAATGTTTCATTATATCAGTTTGAAAGCAACTAAAATTTTGCGCCTAGATGCACTTTTCGGAACGAAGTAGCCTTCATAAGACAAGCCTGACTGGTTCATCCAAGTCTCTCTCTTATTTGTTCTGATTAATGGCCTTTTCATTGCAAATTTTCAGTATGTTTCTAACTTATCGGCCAACTATTAACAAAAGCTGACGTTTCGAGCGTTAGCCCTTCGTCGGAGCGAGGGGCTAACGCTCGAAACGTCAGCTTTTGTAATCGTTACAGTGGCCGGTGACTCTTGTACTTACTCCTGCTACCTCCCCCAAACACATCACCAGTTACAGTCAATGTTTCATTATATCAGTTTGAAAGCAACTAAAATTTTGCGCCTAGATGCACTTTTCGGAACGAAGTAGCCTTCATAAGACAAGCCTGACTGGTTCATCCAAGTCTCTCTCTTATTTGTTCTGATTAATGGCCTTTTCATTGCAAATTTTCAGTATGTTTCTAACTTATCGGCCAACTATTAACAAAAGCTGACGTTTCGAGCGTTAGCCCTTCGTCGGAGCGAGGGGCTAACGCTCGAAACGTCAGCTTTTGTAATCGTTACGGTGGCCAATTTACCATTTCAACTTTGTTGATATATCCAAATTACTTCGTTACTCCCACCGACGCAGCCCCAAACAGTTTCTTTCGAAACTGTCAGCCTTTATTCACAACTATTAACAACTCTAACAAAAAATGTCTCAACATAAGAAAAAAGAAATGAAAGGAAGAAGGGCTTCAAATTGAGAAATATCTTCCTGACTTAGGAAACTACAGAAAATGGATCAGAAGTAAACCTGCAACCCCCTTTGCTGCATTTATCCCAATGGGATCGTGGAAAGTTGTTTTAAGAAATTACAACAAACATGTCCATCCGCTGAAGACAAAAAAAATCAAAACAACAACTAGTGAGAATATCTAAGTGAAAGATAACTGCGCTTCTATGAAAAGTAAGGATATCCACAGTGAGTCAGAAGAAGAACAGCAGCTGAGAGGAAGCAGCAGCTACAGCCATGTCTCCTGAGAATGAATCAATCTCACCTACAAACAAAGTGAGAGATTGGAATTATCGGAAAGCGCGAAGAACACATTTATATAAAAAGTGCAACTAACACACGAACACAGACACTTTGCACATCATAAAGGTTCTAAAAATGCCGAGTAACAGTGCTGTGTACATCAGATGGATTTTCAGAGAAAAACGATTTATTCTCGTATAGGACATTTGGTGGAAAAGGTAACAAAAACCAAATGATGAATGATTAGCAAGTCAGCTCTAATATAAGATGAAAGAGCCAAAGAAAAGATCCTGCTTGTTACAAGGCAGAGGCCAAAGCGCAGCACTCCTTGATTCAGAAGTTATTCTTTAATGTGCAACTAGCCAGTGTGATAAAGAAATTAAGTGCCAATCATCTTGCTGGTTTCATCAGCTGCCATGCTCGACTTACTAGTTGTCCCGGATACTCTCTTCAGGACATATAGCGTTAAAGTAATTACTGACGACAGCTCGTCTTTGGCCTTGCGCCTTGATAGAAAGAATGATCAGTTACACAAAAACAACGTCATTACAACAGAAGTGCAAGAAAAATAAAATTAATAAAACCAACCAGAAGCAAGCAAAAGAAAATGAGGCAAACAAACACAGAAGGAAAAGGAATGCATAGTAATACGTGGAAACAAAAGCAGGGAATTAAGTGCGTCACCTGCCCTTGGGTATGTCGTCCTAACTAACACAATAAGTTCTCAACTCATTCCAAAGTTTATTTTCAAAATTCTCTTGGCAATATATAGTATTTTCCGAACAGAGACAAAGTTACATTAACGAGTGATCATATTCTACATCGACTTAAAACAAAGTTAAATCTTCTACGTAGTTTTCTGAGCTTTTTATCTCCATATCAACTCACTATATTTTAACATTATTTTTGGTATCTTATTTACTCAAGAAAGTACCGATCTACATTCTAACTACCAGATTTTCGTACAAAAAATTATCATTGGCACAGTCTAAATTCACCACACTGTAAATTTTATGAAATATGATCTAATTACTAATTCAAAAAGTTCTTGAGCTTGCCGCTACTCAGAAGTATTGCTACTAGTAAATGCGATCAACGACACGTCGCTTTCAGTAGAGACCTCTGGTACCACAGACGATACTGTGCCAGCATCCACACTGCCAATGAGTACCGCTCTATCCTGTGCTACGGTGTCAATCTGCAAACAAAGATCTTGAACTTAGAAAACAAGCACTACAAATAATAAGGAACCAAGTGCAACTCAGTGTAGTGATTTTAGGTGCAATTACGCGCAGTCACTAGCAAAAGGTTTCAGATCAAATTCAAATCGTTGAAAGAAGTGCAAAAAGAAAAAAGATATTAGTTAATTAGTCACTACACCTGGTGCATTTTCCTTTACAATGAAAGAAAACTAAAAGCTGGAAGAAAACTCTACCTGTATTGAAGTGTTGTCCGAGAATGATGTTATCCAATGAGAGATACTCGTCGGACCACGCACAATGTATGCCGGTTTGGTTCGACAAAACAAAATATTGCACAATCCGTCCATGAACTTAAGTGACGTTTTGATACGACTGACTAGCTTGAAATAGAAAGTTTTCCTGGCAAGTGACACGACTGCTGACGTTAGAGCAGGTGACATTACCGCCGATCTACCGGCCTAGTTCGCAAGTTCAACCTCTAGGTTGCGTAACTCTAACAACTGATCGGCTTAATTGAATCAACGAAAAAAAAAACGTAATCTTTTAAGGTTTTGTAAAAACTGCATGATACATATCAAGTTGAAACGAAGTATATCATATACTATACAGAAGGCGCTTGGTTACGAAACAGTGGTTGAGATAAAAATATACCATTGAACACCCGAGTGTTTGATATCCTTTCGTAATGGGAATTAAAATTGAGCAGGAAAAATAAAAATACGTAATAATTAACATCATATTTTCATTAAGATTTCTGCAATTAAGGCTTTATTAATTAATCATAAGTTTGAAAAATGATATCTAAATTTCTTATCTAAGCGACAATTGGAAACAAGAGGGCATTTACAGATTAGTGTACAATCATAGCTTCCCATTCAGAATGCGCGAGTAGTTGACAGACTTAGTTATAGCAGCGGGCAATAGATTATGAATTTATAATCCCTTGTGGCGGGTTTGTTTAAAGGAAGACATTAGAAAGAAGTAAGAAAACGTTCACGTACGTCAGGATGAGAAAGAATGCTTTTTTGGGGGGCCATAAGAGTCTTATGATGTGATGCAATGCTACGAACTTCATCACAAGAACTCGTCGCTAACGTGGAAAAAACTGGATCCTCCGTCCACATCAAAGATAATCGAAAAATAAGCGAATAGTGAAATAACATGTTTGTCGCCCTGTTACGAAACAGCTCGTGTTAGTATTTGGCGAGGAAGACTCTTGACACGCCTTACTCAACCACTTTAACTCACTCAGGAATTAGAACATAGCTTCCAATTAACACAAATGAAGAAAGTCTAAAGACTAAACAGTAAAAATGGGTAAAACAATCACCTGAACTTTTTGCGTCTCTGAAGGAAAAAAATGTCGACCAACGAGCATGAAGAAGATATCAGGTAAGAGAGACATGAAGATGAGTAGCAAGATGGCCAGCCACACCACTCCTTGGGACAGCAGTTGGTAGAATAATTTGTACATGTCTAATGATATTACGTCACTGAATGCTAGCTGGAAACCCTTCCTGAAAAACAACATTATGAGTTGCACCTTATGGTTAGTCAAGAAACATGTCTACATTTGGCGTATTTAATACATTGATACAAATTCCTTCAAAATTGTATGCTGTACAATTGTACCTGTATGATTAGACAATATCATTTGACTAGCATAATCAGATAATCAGGATGACTTTTGGTGACAGGGGAAGAAGGAGCTTTACGCATGTCTACAACATATCCTAAATTCTATATACTAGCACTTATTTCTTGGAATGTTGTCAACAGTCCATGAATATTCAGTGCACCACGTTTACGTATACTTGAAAGGACTCATAGCATAAAATCATGTTGTGTGTACTTACCAAGTCTGACTGCTATATGTGATAGTGGATACGAAGAACAGAGCGATGGAGCCCCAGGTAGAAACGTGAGTCATCCATGTCCAGTAATGTGTAACCAGTGCCAACTGCAATGTCATAATATCGGTGGTCATGGCGATGTTTATCTATTAATGGGTGACTGGCGATAGTTGTATGACCGCACTTCATCATAGCGGTTCTTCTCGAATGTATCCTACTTTCTCACAAACACTGAGTACTTACCTTGAGATTACTGACTATGATGCAAACAGTAAACACAAACGTTCCAAACGACCAGTTTCCATATTGCTGGGGACAGAAAATAAAAGAAATAAGATGCTTGTTCGCTTATTGAATGTAATGAAGCAATAAAGATAATCACTCATTTCGTTTGAAAGATAAAAAGCACCACAGACCACCACACAAAGTATAAAACAAACAGTGGCGATGCCACTGTATCGTCCTCCAGGAGAGAATGGGAAAGATGAGTGAAATTTTCGCGCATTAGGCATGTCACCTTTCTTCTTCTTAGTAGTAGTGGGAGCTACCTTTGAAAATATATCTGATATTGTGTCGAAGCTAGCCAAGCAGATTTCGATTTTCAGTCGATGACACTTAATTAGACTAAATTAGAAGCTAGGATAAAAATCTTACCAACATGGCAGGTCCTAATGCATCACCTTGAAAAAAGAAATACGATCCAAAGAAGAATACCAATGCGTGCCAATAACCTGACGAAATCACCGCAAACATTAGTCAGAATAATCAGCGAGAGAGGAAAGAAAGAAGTCAAGAAATAAGCAGGAAGAAAGCGTAACCCAAGAAAAACTCACCAGACATTATCCAGAAGAAGAATTCTGTCCATGATAGGCGATAGTTCTTACTTATATCCCTAAGGAAAAGAGAAAAATTTTCATCATTGATAAGAACCCGTAACACTGGCGAGATACGACTGCGTTCTATCACTTTTTGTCAATTTGTCGGTCTTTTAGTTTGTTTCATTGTTTCATGGTTTCAAAAGTTTCTTCACCAACATATTTATAATGTAACAAAGAAAATCAGGGCCAACCAGACAACAGAAAACCTATTACGGGACAAAATGAAACAATGGCCTCAAAAATTTTATTAAGAGGTGGCGCCAATGGTAAAAACAAGATGGTGGTATATGTTAATTAATTTTTCAAATCTAAAACGATTGGTTCCTCAAAAAGATTAGGTAAGCTTTATAGTTCCAGGGATACCAATTTGAAACAGGAGAGAGGGTATTTCATACGGATGACAATGGAGGAAGGTAATATTAACAAACACGAGCATACAGAACCTGTACAAGTGCGGCTGACTTTGTAATGCATCACTGTTGACGTTCTGCTCAAATATGCCATAGACAAAAATAGGAAGCGATGTGAAGAAAATGTTGTACGCGGTTAGAAAGAATGCGAGGTACAACGGCTGCAAACAGGAAAAATCATACACAGAGTTAGGGTATAGCCTATGCGAGCCCGGACTGGCTGATTACTGCCGCAAGCGTATCTTTGCATTTATTACTGTCTTGATAATGGTCCCTACCCCACAAGATTTTGCATAGAGAAAACACGAACTGCTTCTGACTACAGAACAAGTGTAGCCTATTCACTGACGACTTAAAGATTGCATTTACATACGAACCTGACCAGAGAAAGATGTAAAAAATGCGTAGAAAAACTGTGGTGTGATAAAACACACATTCTGAAAAATAAAACGTAAATCTATGTTAGAATACAACGAGTTGAGGGATTTGGGATTTGCTGTGTAAATACTGAGCTCGTGATATAACCGAGGAGCGTCAGAACGAGGAAGTAACTACTTGTCAGACTCGGCAAGATCAATTTACTGAGTAATTTGGTTTTATCAACTTAGTTGATAATTAACAATTATTCCATGAGCGCTTGTTGGATATGAGATGATCGATAGCCTACGAGGCGCTACGCGCCTCGTTGGCTATAATCATCTCATATCCAACAAGCGCGAGTGGAATAATTGTTTTATCAAAAACGTTAAACTAAATTATCAAATTTTATTAAATTTTTAGCTCCCTTTTAATTTTAAGCTGACACGTACGCTTGCCATATTTGTAGATTGTGGTATATTGGCTGATATACCATAATGGCTAAGCCAATAAAAAGTCTTGACTTGCATTATCCAATGATCTAGTTTTTAATAACGTAAATTAGCCACCGTAAAGAGTTTAAAAGCTGACGTTTCGAGCAAACGCCCCCACCGACGCAGCACCACAGTTTCTTTAAAAACTCACCCACTCTTAATCAATTTGCGATTAGTTGGAAGAACATAAGTTATCAGAACTTTTCAGACATAGAGACTGATCACATCAAATTCCTAGGCGGGGGGGGAGGGGGGGGGGCGAACACCTCCTTATAAATTCCAATTTTAATATAAAAAAGACCACAACACACACTATCACTTAACACAGTTGAACGCTTTTAACCGGCCACTTCTCTGTTCGCCATTAAAGCGCGCCTCAGTTGTCAAAATAATTTCTGGACAGCGGCCAGTTAAGCCAGTTAATCACCGACGGAAGAACGGCGCTGTAACGATGCGTAACACTATTCGCTGGAGCAGACCATCGCTATCAGCTCTATTTCTCGAAAGAAAAAAAAAATTGGCTTTTGGGCTTGAAAGTGAACGACGCACGAAATATGTAATCACTGGATCTCACTCGAGAATTAATTTCTGGTTTCGATGTAAATACATTTTGATCACTTTATGTATTAACCTCCTTAAAAAAGTACATAAAAAAATAAAAATAAATAAAAAAATAAAAAAACAAAAAGTTCTGGCTTTCGAAAGAACATTTGTTTTATTATAACCCAACCTCTCCCTCTTTATAACAACCATTTCACTCTGTCCACAAGGCGGCCATTACAAAAAGGTTCCACTGTATTTCTGTTATTGACATTTTCCATTTCTTTGAATCACTGTATGAGCCCTGTAACTGTGTGCACATGGACCTAACAAGGTTACCCAGCTAAATAAGTTACCTTATAAAAGAAGTACTGCACCATAACTGCTGCTCTAACGTAATACCAGTGGCCATGCACCAACAGTATTCTCCGTAGAAACTTGAACCTAGCCACAGCATAGTCACTAGTCCTGACCGCCTGCCGACCCTCTTTTCCCATGACACCGATACCCACATGAGCCTCTTGAATCATACCGCAATCATTAGCGCCGTCACCTATGGCGAGGGTCACTGGCTTCTTGCGACAGCTCTTCACTAACTGGACAATCTGTGAACAAGAACACAGTCCAATGAAACAAAACCCATTCTCTTATGATATTCCAGTGAGCGAAAAACTACATACCTCGTCAGGCCTATTGAAAACTGGTGACAAATTATGTAATCTGAAGGTGACCCTGCTTTCATTGTTATCAAAGCCTGGACGGTTTTGGGATCGAACTGAGTACAACAATCGGTAAAATAGTTCGAATAAAAAAAAAAACAGTCGATAAAATACAAATAACAGGTAATCACTTTCACTAGATTGCTTATGGTTAGTTATAAGTTGGAGACTAAATTCTACTTGTTGAATTTAAGTCTTTCGTGAACTTTTTTTCCAAGCTTACCATGTCTTAGCAAATGTTCATTTACTGAGAACTTGTGTGTGACGTTATGGTTAAAAAAAAGGCACACGTTTGTCTTTGTCTTTATCGTTATCATTGTTATTATTATTTACGCAAGATACCTGAGCTTTCTGTAAAGGCGACATTCTACAGCACAACACAGCAACACATTTTTGACAGATTTCCAAAAACAAATCTGTAACAAAACAATTAAACGTCACTTTTCATACAATTAACCCTGGCAACTACTTTGATACAACAAGCGACTGTTAGTATGAAATAAACTGTTTAAAATTCTAAAACTACCCCTAAACCAGTCATTAAAGGTTTCGCTGACCATTCTTTTCATGTTTTTTTCCCCTCGACATCGTATATTTGTAAGATTAAAACGCACTTGTCCTTTTCATTGATTACTGAATCAGAAATAGAGTGAGAAATAGGAATGGGAAGTTTAGTGATGACAGACGATCTAATCAGAGTGTACCCGTTCTTTGACGGTCGGTCTCCAAAGTAAACTCCTTTAAAGCCCTACAGTTGGCAAGTTGGGAGTTTTTACTAATTTTAATTTTATACAATCACAGTTTCCAATATTATGTAACTGGGCCTACCTGAAAAGTCCCGAAGAACATGAGACACACTAAAACCGTCGATAACTAAGGCATACGGCCTACTATCTGTGGGCGGTCGGCGTTGAATCCTGTAACCACAGAGCACAAAGTGAAAATAAGAAGATTGTCTTTTGCAACAGGCCATGAAAAATACTTCACCTAGAGCACAATTGTCACACTATTGAAACTACCCACTTGTCACGGCAGCTAACAAGCTCTTCTTGACATTCTCTCTCCGACTGTTTCTTTGTGACAAACATTATCTCCATTCCCGCCTACAAAGGACAGGAACACAAGAGTAACAGTTGTCTACTTCCAGCCACAGCTGTATCAAAGCAACTCCATTTAGACCCTCACTCATTCTTTGGTAATGGGTAACACTGGATGTACCAACCATGATTTAAAGGCCCAGGCAACGAAGCAGATATCAACATCTGCAACATCACCACAGGCTACGAAAGAGAACACTTTGAAACGTTTAAAACTGTAACATTGGTTTGAGGGAATATAAAACTGAAACACAATTTTTCTGTTTAACAAATGAAAATGCAGCATTTTGATTACCTTCCTGATGCGACTCATAAACTTTCCATGGCCCGACAAAGGACGTAGAAGAAAAATCATCACCCACCATCGTGATTTCAACAAGTTACTATTCAAAGCCACGCTAACACTACTATGTGTAGCATCACTTAAGTTAAAGCATGGAAGGAACCACAAGTCATCATGTCAGTTATGTACAAAAAATGTTCTATTGATACCTTGAAATGTCCACATGAATGACTGATGTTGACTGCTGTTTCCTCTTTGTCTCCAGTAAGAACCCACACCTGTAAAATAAACAAACATCAAAATAAACTGCGATACCAAAATATACCTCAAAGGCTACGAACAGAAACAAACGTTGGAATATACATGGGAAATTTTTAGTCCAGGACTGGTACATAATCTTGAAGGAATGAAACATGCACATTTTGATTCCATTCATTAGCATGCTTACCTTGATCCCTGCCTGACGCAAGGCCTCTATTGTTTCTGGAACTCCATCCTGCAATCTTGAACCGAACAGGTGGAAAACATTATGTGATGAGTCTTGTCATCTAACTGAAGTTTGTAATTACAACTATTTTTTGGTTGAATTTTACTGGATCCCCAAACATGCCCATCTTCTCATTCCGAATAAATTATAATACAATAAATTATGTCTACAGGTTACACCTAAATGTATTTATGACTAACATACCTATCTTCAACAGCCGTTGCTCCAAGGATGTGAAAATCTCTCTCCACTTCATCATAAACACGTGCAAGCTGTCTCATAAATCGAACATGCAATTAGAATCAGTGAGGGCAAGCAAAATATTATTTACCAGAACGATCAAACAAAAATGAAACACAAAAGACGTAAATACAATCTTAAACAAAGATCTGTTTGTTAAAAGGCACTTCCACAGAGCAAGCAAATATGAAGTCAGTTCAAATCATAGTGGTCACTTGCTTAGTTTTCCTCAGAATTGCAGTTGGAAGGGGAATGAGTCGAATTTGTTTTTCACTTCTTTGTTACTTGTTATCCAAGGTCTCACTGTCTCCTGAACAATTTGTGGAAGCCAGCAGGTTGATCTAGATTTTAATTATATCATTACAGGCCTTTCAACACACATCTGTGTAAAAATACAAGAACAGACATTGCTACACACCTGCTCTTCTCTATCAAGAATTGCTTGCTTAGCCTTGTCGATCTAAATTGCAAAATAACCAACAGTATTAATTTACAAATCAATAAGGATAACAACCAGCATGGTACTAATTGTTTGGGCCTTTCCCTGAAAACAAAAGAAGTTCACGAAAGGCAAGTTTCCTGTTTGTCATAATTCATCTTCTCTACATGTATGTTATTTCAATAAATTACATTTCAGAATAAAAGCCAGCCCTTTCAAGTTATCGTTTTAAAAAAGGCGCCACTTACCTTTGCATTAATTACAACATATTCATCTCCTGAAAGCACTCTACGACCAACAACTAATGTCCGCAGTCCCTTCTGTTAACCACAAGAAAACAATTCAGTACCAACAGCGTCACTGGACTACTTAAATACATGCAGTAGTGCTATCACAATGCTGATTATAGTTTGATTGATACATGTAGTCATTTTTACAGAAGCGACTTCAGCTAGTTTAACCATCACACATACCTCGGCATATTCATTGACATGATCAAGAGTAATATTTTTTGGTCCTGAGGCCAGTCGATCCAGAACAGCTGTCTCAGCTCCTTTCACTAACATCATATGTTCACCTGGGAACAAAAACAGTAAAGTTAATTTTATAATAATTACTTGCTATTTTGTATTCTTGGCATGTCGGTCTGAGTGCATTGTGATAAACTGCAGACATGACTTGCTCATAATACTCCTACGTTCTGATTAAACCTCAACCATAAAAAAAATATTTGAAATTTTCCCCAAGCCCATTCTTGAAAGAAACCACGATGTTCATATGCTTGTCATTACAAGAAAACAAGAAAAGCACAATTTTTAAAGCATCAAAAAGAACTAGAGGTCATATGATAATGTTAGAGGGAAGTGCTGCAGAATATTAGTCTCCAGGCAAAACAGAAAACCTCCCGCATCCCACATATTTATGAGTACCCTGTTCCACAAGAGAAAGATGATTCAAGAATATATTGTCTAATTGACATTACCAATAATTAAATGGTAACAAATAATAGTATTAACAACAATAATAACAATGATAGCAATATAATCATAACAATACTTCAAAGGGGCTAGCTCAAAAGCCTCATGGCTCCCCAATCATCTGGGCTCCAACAATGATTATCTATGCTTCTTTTAATTTCGCCTGTTAATTAGAAATGATTTTCCTAATTTATTGCAATTCCATTTTTAAGGACTTTTGTTTCATACATAAAGTCGTCGTTCCGCATTTTAGGATATTCTGTCATTCTGCGTATTAAGATATTCTGCATATAATTATACATACCTTTGGATCTACATAATTTGCTGGTTTAAACAGTAAAATTCTTTCTCTTGAAGAAAATTATATTCCCTGAAATTTCATGATGTACCGATCGAACCTATTAAGATATTTCTGCAAGGAAAACTTTCCTTTTTAAAATAGCATGCAATAACTGAAAACATAATGTGCTAGTGGCTATAAGCCAGAAATCACAGGTTCTTTTGGCAACCATTTTGTAAAGTTTAAGATAAAAATAGAAATGTTATCCACCAGCCTAGGTCTTTCCATATTGGGAAAAACTTTGCCCTTTGTCTTGAGTACCAGTATCCAAGACCTCCAGCACAGTTTTTCCCAATACGTACCTTCCTTCAATAGAACTACAGTACTGTCTTCATGAGGCATTAATCTCAAGTTTACTTACCTCTTGGTGACCTAACAATGACACTCATTCTTTTCCTGGTTGAATCAAATTCAAGAATATGAAGAAGAGTGTACCTAGAATAAAAAATAACGCCGATGTACATATGTAACTGTTTAATCATTTGCGTTCCAATTGAAAAGTCTCTGTAAATTACAACTCAATAAGTTTCACTAACCTCTCAATCACATCAGCAACTTTGACTTCAATATCATCACCAATCTTTCCTTGGTAAGTGACTCCAAATCTGTGCACAAAACAATGCCAATGAAATAGATGAATGAAACAACAGCAAAAAGCGCAACATAGCACTAACTCTTACACTTTATAGTGGGATTAAGTAAAAACATCGAGAATAAACTACACAAACCTGTTGGCCCACTGAGGAAGGACAGAGAAGGCACCCTTAAAGTGACTTGGGGGATGGGAGTAGGGAGACAGAGAGTCAGAGAACAAGAGGCAGGGACACAGGGAAGGAAAAAGATACAATCAATAATACCTTACAGCTGCTTCCACTAGAGCTTTCTCATCAGGAGATGAGGCCTGAATAAGATACAGAGCATTTTTAAAATCTCATAAAACGAGCCTTTATTCAAGACATGAGTAGAGAAATACTTAACTTCTAAAGGAAAGAAAGGAAAAACTTTGTAAGTCAAGAAAATAAAGCCTTCCACAGCAAGTTAAGTAATTGGCACAAGACAAATGAGAATTCAAGAGAAATTGCTTCTAGGAAGGCAAAAAAAAAAAATGACTTACACACAGTCCTTAGCTTTCTAGTCAAACAGTAGAAAGCCTATTTTTCCTATTTACTAAACACAGCAATTGTGACAGGTACCTGGTACCGATAATCATAGATAGAATCCTGATTGGTCTCCTTGGAAGCTTGAACAGTGTGGCAAAGGGACAGTGCAAGGAAAAACTGCATAACTTCTGGCTGAAAATGAAATTATGCAAGAATATTTAAGTTTAAACATGTTAATTATGTAAGTGTGTTATTAAGAGTTTAAAAACAAAATAAAATTAAAGTAAACTATTAAAAAAAATTGCCAATGATGACTCTGTTCCATTAAAAGTTGAGGTCATGAATAAACTTTATATTTAAGTTCAAAAATGTTTTTTTCTCAATTATGTAAGTGTGTTGTAAAGAGTTTAACAACAAAATAAAATTACATTTAACAATTAAAAAAATTGCCTGATTATACATGTCAAAGTCATGGTTTAACTGATAACTCTTTTTCATCGAAAACTTAGGAAGTCAAAAATAAACTTCAACCTACACAGACACTTTGAGCAGAAACACATGGACCATCTGTTTGATCTGCCACAAATAACTGACTGTTTAGCTCCTAGAAAAGAAAAGAAATAAACAAAAACAAAAAATATAATGCAATCAGAAAGTGTCCATGAAACTAAATCCCAGCATAAATAGAAATTATTACAGTACAGACGATTTCTATTCATATGTTGTGATGCATAAAAAAACATTCAGGTGAGTGCAGTGAACAAGTGAGTTTTTAGATCCATCGCTAAAAGGGGTTAAAATATCATTCAAGCACTTTCCATGGTATGATGTTCTTATTTCATACATATCGAGGTTTTTTCTTACTGAGTGACACATTTCAAATGTTGGAAGCAAACAACTGTGAAAATATGACATTTTTCCAATCAAAGACACTAACATAAATCTCAGTATGTATGACTTAAACTGGCTTCCTAAGTTTAACTCTTAAAGATAAGACACAGTTAAGTCTGATTGAAACTGAAAATTCAAATGACAAAAAACTGTATCGTTTCTTTCAACACATATTTGTTAAGCATGATGAACCATATCTGTAACCAATATTATATTCTAAACAAAGCTTCCCTCACTCTTAAGAAGGTTAAAGAAAATTTGTATGATTGATTACTCACCACATATTGGCAACCATTTATGGAACATTCCCTGAACTGCATATCATTTTCAGTAAGTGTTCCTGTCTTGTCTGTAAACACATACTCAATCTACGAAAATAAATTACGCATATTTTTTCTCTATCCTTATAGGCAGTAAACAGTGTGGTACTAACCCTCATCGGGTAAAGTTTATTTCACAAATACATGGCAGCCCTCTAAGGGGCTGAATTGCGTATTTACAAAAAATGTAACAGAATATCTAAATAGTATGACTAATGTAAGAAGAATAATAAGCCTAACAGTAAAATTGAATACTGTAAAATGATGAAACCTAGCATTAAAATTAATAAGGCTGTATTAATTTTATATAATATCATGCTCAATACAAGATTTCATTAAAAATGTGTCCCTGAACCTATTTGTTTTCCACCTTGGTGTTTCAAAACACCTGCATCATCTTAGATGGTAAGACGACTTATGGGCTGAGGGTAAAAGATTTCTTAACCGGTTACTCTTATCATTTAAAATAGAATTAAAGGTCTTCTTACAAATATTTTCATTGTAACATTCAATGCCTGGTAGTTTAGTGCTGACTAAAGCATCGCTGTAGTCTATCCCCAGGAAAAAATAATAGCCAGCGCCCTTTTCTGGACATGCTCCAGTTCGGTCTTGAGATACAATGGCAGTGAATAATAGAACGCCGGTACAGATTGAATGGAAATGCAATAGAATAACACTAATTCACTTGTCCGGAGTCTCGCCCTCTTAAGCTGCACCAAAAAATACAAACGTTTAGAGGCCTTGTTTATAACCTCACTAACATGCTCGTTCCATGACAGGTCATCACTTATGGTGACCCAAAGGAGTTTTGCAGACTTAACGGTTTCCACACCTTTCCCATTAACTATAATTGGAGGAAACTCCTGCTTTTGTTTACTGAAAGTAATGCGAAGCTCTTTACATTTATCATTGTTCAGTTGTACTCTATTTTTAGAAAACCATYCCATTACACGGTCAGCTATCCTTTGCGAAATACTTGCCTTTCCTTTGATGACAACTTCTGAGGTCGTAGTGTCATCAACATATTTCCACATTTCCGCATTTATACCACTACTTACTTCAAGAACATTAATGAGCACAAGAAATAACCACAGCCCTAGCTTTGTTCTCTGTGGGATGCCGGACAGAACTGACTCCCACTCGGAAAAACAACCCTTTGCAAGTTTAATTTGCTGAAAATGGCCTGATAAAAAATCTATGATCCAATTAATTATATGTTTGGGTATCTCCAAGATGGTCAGCTTCCTAACTAAAATGTCATGATCTATAAGATCAAAAGCCTTCCTATAATCGTATAGTGTGGCTCTCACCGTGGCGCCGTTTCCATCAGTCGTTTGTGCCCATTGGCGAATCATGTGAATTAGAGTTTGGGTTGTAGAGGAGTTTGTCACAACCCCATACTGGTTTGGATCCAAAACTCTCAAGACGGCTGGTTTGACGTAATGACTTACAACACATTCTTCTGCCACCTTAGAGAGGCATGCCATCAGTGAGGTTGGTCTCAAGTCTTTCTTGAGATCTTCTATAGGCTTCCTCTTGGGTAGGGGGGTCACATCAGCAAGTTTCCATATATGCAGCAAGCACTGCTCTCTAAGTGATGCATTGATGATTTTGCTGACTGGGAAAGCAAGAAAATCCGTGAATTCCTTCAAGAGCCAATTTAGCACCTCGTCCGGGCCACTTGCCTTTGATGGGTTGAGCTTGGATAGCAACCGTAGAATCCGTAGTTCTGATATTTCATGTAGATCTGGCGTATCAATCTTAATGGGTACCTTGACCAGTGGTTGCGTCAGGCGATACTCCTCAAGAGGCTCCAAAAGAGCTTTGTTGATCATATTAGCTAGATCCTGATCAGACAGATCATCGACACCTTCTATTTGAATCTGGTGTTTCAAGTCGCCTGAGTGGGACTTGGTGCCACAAAGCTACTTCACTTCTTTCCACCATAGTTTTGGATTGTCATCCTTCGCATGTGCAATTTTGGTCTTAAAGAAGTTCCCTTTGCACTTTTTCCTCTCGCGATTTACAATGTTCCTAAAGAACTTGTACTGCTCTGATTCCCTACCATGAGTGTGAAAGGCCTTTTGCCTTTTCAATATAAGACCTTTGAAGTGCTAGGTCATCCATGGGACATCAGATGTATTGACAAGGACTGTTTTCATAGGCATCAGGCAGTCCAGTCCTGTTTGTATTACTTTCTGGAATACATTTACCATGTCCTGGCAGTTTTCAGTGTTCGCGAACAAGCAAGACCAGTCCATGGAATTTAGATATCGGCCTAGTTCAGCTTTCCGGCTTGCTTGTTTGTCTCGTTTGAGTACTACCATGACTGAAGTGTCATCATTGGTGTCTCTAGCCCTTGCATTGGCAGTGACAGTATTATGATCAGAGAGACCAAAAGGTGGAAACGATTGTGGAGTGTTGCAGAATTCGTGCAAATTAGTAAGCACCAAATCGAGAATTGCATTTTTTCTTGTAGGCTTCTTTACAATTTGCTTCGTACGAAAGTGGCGTTGTATCGACTCGACATCAAGGCGATAGCCACGATCAAAGCACAATTAGGAAATTTAGACTCAGCTAAGGAGAATGATTTGAATATCTTCCTTCCCTTGCCTTTAAATTTGTTCACAGACAGTGATTTCTTTATGCATTACCCTCAGAGCAATCATTAAAAATCTATAATTTCTACATGTACTGTCTGGAAAAAGCAGTGAACCAAAATCCACTGAATTCATTTGTAGTTTGGCAACCTTGAGAGTTGAGATGGCTCCTTATTTTGAATTATCAACATAAAACATGATGAATTAACAAAACTCTTTCCTTATCTACCTGTCCTAGTTCTTCATTCAAGTCTGATGTATTAGCAATGGCCCGCTCATCTGTTTCCTAAAAAGGCAAACAAACAAGCAACTGAACAAACAAGCTTTTTTAAGCTTCCCTTCATTCTAAAAAATGCTAACTTGGCAACATAAGTCACCAAACTTTCTAGTTTCATTACCAGGTTTTCAGACTTTACTGCATGTTCCATGCATTGATGATGATAGTATCAAGATACATTACTTCTTATGTGAGAACATAGGCAACAAACATGTTACAACCGTACTTGTAACTACAAAGAACCTACAGTGAATCCTAAATTAAACAAATTCAAACTTCTAATACATGACAGACAAACTCTTGAAACAAAAATTTCTTCTTACCTCGAAGTACATTTTATGGTCCCAAGCAAAAAACAATGCACCAATAAATTTTTGAAGCTCTACGTGAAAACAAAATGACAACATGCATACAGGCTAAGTAATATGAATCAATCTAACATAAAAACATTAACCTAAAGATAACATTATATTTATTTAGGGAACAGTCTGACAGGTATATATGGTAAATATCTGTTAAACAGGACATAAATGTATTTCAGCATTCACCAGTCTTTGATCAAACTCTGACGATTACTTTACAGTTAATTACATTTTGAAACACTAAATATAACATATACAGCTAAACTTAGAAATATTCTTAGAATATATTCTAATTAATTGGCTGCCTGGCATTTTTAACTCTTAGGTTATTTTGGGCAACCAGTGCCCCTATCATTGTCTGTACTATTATAATTATAAATTTTTCTTTCTTGTATATTTTGGGGTGAAAAAAATAAAGTTGTTGTTGTTGTCCACCACAACTGACACCCCAAAAATGACTAATTACTTTGCTGTTACCACCATGTAGATGATCACTTCACCATAGAGGCTTGAAAGTAATTCTAGGATCATTGTGGTCATCAATTTCCAAAATGAAATGTTCCTTTGTTTCGTTTTTTTAATGAGTACAATCAAGTAATGGAAACTTACCAACTGTAACATACAGCGAGATGGGAATGACGTAATTGTACAGAATAAGAAATACAAGAAATGTGTCCAGAACACCATTAGAACCTGTGAACTGAAAAGGGAAAGTAAGGGTAGGGGGTTTTCTTAGGGGGTGTTAATTTGGCTGGAAGAAATTCCTTTTAACTTTTCATTCTTTAATATTGTATTTACCCAAGCTATCAAGTAAAGCCACAATCCTAACAGGTCAGCTGCAATTTAAGCAACTGCAGAAAAAATTCAGGCTTCAATGGGATTTGAACTTGTCCCTCCCAGATAACTAGTTGAGCACATTTTAGAGGGTTCCTCTTTCCTGTGAAGGATTCTGATCATTTTCAGTGAAACAAACTTTCATTTGACTTGAAGATGAAAATTAAGTAAAGCAACAATCTTCACAGCTGAGCTGCAGTTCAAAATGTAATTTACCTCATTTAAAATCCCTTAATATAATAAAAGATTTAGCCTTCATGTTACAAACATAAAAGCATTGGCTGCTGAAAATTTATTCATCATCAAATGTCATGCTAAAAACAGCAAAAAAAACAAACAAACTTACTGTGACTTTAAGATCTTCTTGATAGATGTAGGATGGCTTCCCTGATGGTGTACCTTGTTTCCAGAACATCAGACCTGTACACAGAGCTCCTTGACTCAGCAGTACAATTAGAAAAACAATCAGGAACACATTCATTGTCCTGCAATGCAAAAGAAAGCAATCACATCATTTTCACACCCATAATAATAAGGATTTTTTCCTTGAATACTCAACTCGATTCTAACAATGCTACATCTAACACTACTTTATATACTTCTTACAGTGTCACCTTGGTATGTGTGCTTGATGATTTTGACCAGTGAGAGGATAAGTTACACACTGATGTATTTAGAAAAAATTAGGACAATATGTTATCAGAGGGTGAACATAATTGTGACTAAAGTGGAGATAACAATACAGCCTCAGGAAAAGAGCATAACAATAATTCAAACATGAAATCAATATGATAATCCATCTCCCTAACAGGTAATTACTTAGTGGCCGCTGTGTGCTGTGAAGTGTATTAAGTAAAGACTCAGATTGTATGTAATTGCTAGGCTTCTAACATACACATACCACATTGCTCTTAATAAGTCAATTAATTATATGACTGTGTAACTGGTTCTTTAGGTAACAAGAAAACAAAATAAAAAATAAAAATTAGGGGAATTCATATTATACTTCTCCACTGTTGAAAACTTGTGAGCCCCTTGCTGCTGATTGAGAGCCATCTGAAAATAGAGAGAAAATGAATTTAATGGTCAGTACTCACTATCTCTCAATTTGGATTTAACAAAAGGAGTCTTGCCAGTCAGTAATAAATTCACAAGACAATAATTAAAATAAAGCAATCTACAATACCTAATTTTAAGCAATTAATTGCTATGTTTGTGAGCAATTCCTATCTAATATATAATTCCATGCCACAACTTCAACATACTGTTACAATGTATATTGTACAACTTATGGTGCATTACACAGCCCCAGTTCCTTAGTCTGCCCTTTAATCTCACTCACATCAAATGCCATTCTAGCTTAAGATTAAACAAAATTATTGAAAAAATACCCACTCACTAAATGATATTTAAGATCTTAAGGATCATTTCATGTGCACATGTTTTGATTCTCACCTTTGTTTCTCTGCCAGTATAGACAGCCACACCTACAATGACACAAATTACATTGAATGACAAAGAGTAGAATGACAAACATGAAGATCAAATGATGACTACATTAATTGTTAACACTTGGCAAAGATTTTTGCATTTATTGAAACTGAAAGAGAGGCATTTACTAGTATTCACTTACCAAAAGTATATGAGGAATTCTTTAACCGAGCTCCTCTCAAAAGCAGATTCTGTGGACCTAAGGCCCTAAAGAAACAATAAGTTAGTTATACTAAATAAATACATTTCAATCATATTCACTGATCCCAAACATCAAATTTGTATAGATTCAAATACATGCTATAATGCCTACTACTGGTTTTCACTAGTTATCATGCTACTATTTATTTATTATTTATTAGCATTTTAAAATGGCTGGTTGGGAGATTTAGCTCACTGGTACCGTCCACACCTCATAAACTTATTTGTTATCAAAATATTACAGTACCTTTCATCAAAGTTAACTTGTTCATGGTGTTTGTGCCTCAATATGTAATGGCTTTTGGCACAGTTATGCCATCATAACCATGTCACATACATGGCATATCATCATAAAAACAAATGAAGTGTACATGTATGCATATGGACCATATGATATCAGATTGGGTGGAAAAATACATGTACATGATAGTTAGATTAGGATTGGCTGATAAGTTGACTGTTGTTTAGTACTTTCTCATTGTTATGATCCTGATTAGACTGCTTTCATAGAGTGTAATCCCATAATTACATTTTACAATACACAGTTTGAATATTTTCAAAACAAATATGCAAAATCTCACTTGAGTACTGATTCTCCACCCCCTCTGGGTGCCACTACCATTCGACCTGAAAAACTACAATTTCAATTACACTTTAATAATGAGCACTATATCTAAAACAAAATTATTATACTTCACAATTATGTACAATGCAGTAAGTTATTCTAAAGAACACAATTATGAAAACTAAAAGAATAAATAATTAGTGATTTTGGTCAAAATTAACAGTTGCTTCTCCTTTAATCCTTCAACCCTTTAACCCTTGAGAGTGACTGGCATGTAGTTTCTCCTTGCATTGTCAAACCTGAATCACACTTCAGTAAGTAAATGAAAAGCTCTCTCAATGTATAGAGAACAGTATGGAGAATATGCATACTGATTGTACAGTGTAAAAAGGTTCAAACGTAATTCTTAATAAGTTTATCATTTTTATTAATAATTTCTTATACATGTGAGTGTATTAGTTTAATTTTCAGAAAATAAGATGTAAATTATAAAATGAATACTTATTTTCTTTTAGTAGATGGATGTGTGCCAATATCAATCCACTATTATGACAAACTTTCTGCTTTGATCACCCTGGTGCAGATTAAGTCCTTATGGTGACTGTAAGCAGTCAGTCCACAACCAGAGCAGAATTTGTCATCAAAGTTAAAAACTTGTATGATTAAAATTTAAAGGCAACACAATTTGGAGAGAATCAAGCTTACCGGTAGTTCCAACTTATAATTGTTCATTGCTACCTGTATGCACAAATTCTCTTACATTAGACAATCCAATCAATACCCAAATTGATAAGGATGTGCCCCCCTCCTATGTTTAACACAACAATCATCATACTGTCCTCACCTATACAGATCTTCCTTTGGGTGCTCACATTCTACATGTGAAATCAAATGAGAGAGCTGCTCAGCAGACTGCATGCCTGCAGTATCAGATAACGCATTACGCACCTGCAGAAAAAATACAATCAATATGTGCTGTCAGCGTTTTTTTTAACTGCAGCACACAGTATATACTAGTGGATTTTATAACTTTGATAACTTGTGTCATTTTTAAATCATTACCACTAAAAGTTTTTGAAAAAATGATCTTTAATTGCTGCCAGAAGGCTCCAGTTACCTTGAGATTTGTTTCACCATCCAGATTTGCAGTTGTGATATAACACGTTCCATCTGGGTCATCACAGGACAGCACCACAAGATCACATGGAATCTCTTCATCATCTAATACCTGAACAATATCACCAACCTACACACACCCATGGCAGCAATCAGTAAATTGGTCATTATTGTTACAGTAATGACTGTAATGAGGAAAGTAGAGTAAAATAAGTTATCAGTTTAAAAGCTGTTATGAAAAATTTGTATGATTCCGCACTGATTTAAAAACACAAAGAATAAGACTGGTGTACTATTATTGTTGAAACACTACTGGTAAACACTGAAAATGTTTTTGAATATTATAATTTTATGATACATTTCACTTTCCATCAGTAATTGCAAACATTCTTACCACAGAAATAAGCCATGCCTTAAGGTATCACAAAGGCACAAAGGGTGCACTGACAATGTTTAAAAATCATGCCTTGATGGTAACCCTTTGAGATAAAATCCCATCAATCTACACATTTCTGATAACTTCATTTTCCTTTTTTTTTCACCTTAATTTTCTTTAGAAAAAAACTAGGAGAAAATGTATGTATTTTGTTTGTACTAGAATATAGTTCTCTAGACTAAAATTGGCTGTTGAATAACATTTAAGTGAACAGAATAAGAAAGAAAGTAATTTCCAGGTGTATGAGCTGAGCAACAGCTAGAATTATGAAAGGCATCATTTTTCATGTCATGAATATAGGACAAAAACAAAATCTGAGTTTCAGTCACAGGAGGTATTAAATCCAATTCCAGTCACAGACAGCTCTATGGTGAGTTACTTTGGGCCATTACCAGCTTCTAAGTAACACACATCCTGCATATTACCAAGATAGCAATGTTCACAGGTTTCTATACCTTTTAAGTGCCCGGACATCATTTTTAAAGTAACCAGATCAAAAAATAAAACTGTATACTACGTTACCGTATTTATTCATCTATAAGCCTAGCGATTTTTTCACAAAATTTTACCAAAATCTGGAAAATTTGTGCTAGAGAAGGGTTCTCGGCTTATAGCCGAGTACTTTTCCAAACATAATTTGTTGGAGACAGCAAATTCAAAGGAAACATAGATATATTCGTTTATAAGCCGAGATATTGCATGCAAAAGTAAATAGCAAAACAAGTTGAAGTTGGTCATTACGTTTATTTAGGTGGTTGCGCAAAAGGAGCGGTTTGTTGTTTTGGGCGCCTAGTAAATACGGCCTACTGTTCGTCCTCAGTGTTGGCGTGGAATTCGCCGTCCATCTCCTCCTCATCCGCTAGTTCTGCCGTTTCTTCCGAGTAGATTTCTTCATCTTCCATGCAGTCTGGAGTATTTAAGATTCTGCAGGTTTTGAACGAGTGTATAGATCTTGCGGAGTTGATTTAAGAATTTCGAAACTGACCAATCAGAATTGCCCATTCCCACAACTGGTAAACAAACTCGTCACATGTTACGGTGTTGTAATTTGCGATCACGTAAAAAGAAAACTTACCTTGGCTTCTCTGCTCAGTAAACCACTAAAGTAATCTCTCATCCAGCCGCGAATATTTCTGAGTATAACAGCCCATCGTTGTGCGTTTCGCTGACATCTCGAGCTCTCCATTAAAGAGATTCTCTTGATCTTTCCTTAAGCGACTCACTGATGACTTACTCTCTGGTTATCTTGAAATTGTTTTCGACGGCAATACTGCATTAAAACTCTGTTCTGTTTCGAAACTTTTGCGTTCATTTCAGTTTGTTCGAGAATGGAATTCTCAGAATATGGTCTCGGCTTATAGCCGAGTATTTTCAATTTACATGTTTTAAGAACCTTCCCGATTTAAAAACAGACCGAAGTTTAGGGTCTCGGCTTATAGCCGAGATCGGCTTATAGACGAATAAATACGGTAACTCCTTTATGTGAAGCTAGGCAGGTATTAATTGACATTAATGTATCCTAGTGCTGCTATCTGGGTTCTGCCTTCTAATGATAACCCTGAATGCTGCTTTTACCATAGAGGCAAAATTCAATAAGTAAAGAAAGATTGTCATTTTTTTTATTTCATTTTACAAGGTTCACACATGTACCTGGTAATGGTCTACCTTACAATGGAATTCTCTGTAGCTTAATGGTAAGGCAACAGAGTTAGGAATTTAAAGGTCTGTGTCCAGTTGTTTGAAGACCGATTAGCGCTAACCCAGGGTTAAATTTTAATCCAGGTTTCTATATTTCTCTGTTCAAAAGCCGTTTTAAGATAATTTTCCCAATTCTTCTTAGAGCATTCAATCACCAAATTGTAAACATATGGAATTAAAGTGAAATTAATTTTAAAGATTTCAGATCTTCAATTAAATTTCACGGTAACCCTGGGTTATCTTAACCCATCTTTAAACAACCCCACCCTGGGGTTTAAGTTGACATTGGACCTCAGATTTTCTTTTTTCTCACCCAAGTAAACAAACAATAATTATAAAAAAAATAGTCATTTGTTACGATTAATATATCTTGAAAATACAATTCCTGTTCTTTACCCCCAGTCTATCAGACAGTTTTACAAGTGAGTGCTATTACTCCTCTGATCTACAATTCTCAAACTACTCAGCTTATTAATAAGTAGCCAGTTAATATATGCACCTCACCTTGACATTTTTGGAGGGAACATCTTGCACCTGTCCTTGCCTGATGACCTTGGTTGGTCTCTTGTTTACCTCTCTATCTGCCTTATGACGAAGCCAGTCCTCATAACCCTTGAGAATTAATTAACAGTACTAGTAAAAAAATTACCTACAATATTACATACACAATTAACATGTGCCATGAATGCTATGTCATTGACAGGTGACCTGACAGGGAATATAATTATAGTGAAAGCTTCAAAGTCCTGTAAAACCAATGTATGAGCTCATGACAAGATCATCTACTTATTGATTTCAACAGAATTACATCTACAAGCTTCAATTCATATTTCCTGGAGTAGAAAAGAGCTACCTAGCAGTAAAAACAGGGGAAATGGAAAACCTTGGAATTGCCATGCAGGACCACACTGTCAAATATCACAGCCTATAAAAGCTAAAGGAGGCTAACACTAATGACAAAGTTTTCAGTATTAGGATCCAAAATAATATTCTTTCTGTGAGCACCCAGTAGAGACTAACCCCTTTTTCTGCTCTTCAAATGGAAAATTATATTATTTTGGCCAAAAATTTTGATTCATAAATTTTTGTTTCAGAGCCAAGAACACTGGCATTGAACTTTGACAAGAAGCCAAGCTTGTCATCTGCAGGCAGCTATCCTCAAAATCCTAGTCATGTCACCTACATTCTATTTCCAGTTACTTTCAATTGGTGACCAGCTGGTTTCAGTTTTGGACCCTGATGTTGTCACTTCCTCAGTACAGTCAGTCATTTTGTGCCATGCACTGTTTCTAAGTTACTTAATATGTGCCATGCACAGAAATACATGTAGCTTGCACTTATTTTTGAATCTGCACTAATTTAGGTTTGCATATAGGTGACACATGTATGCATAAACCTTAGGGCATAAAGTTAATAAAAGTGGTGCACCTACTTGTTTGATAGCAGTGACTGTTATCACAAACACCAGAGGAAGAATACTGGTCACTGGACTCACAGGGCTGTCAATTAACAACTGCAACCAAACAACATCAAAAGAGGTCATTGTCTAGTATGTACATATAAACACTGTTAGTATTAGTTCAAAACAAACATTCAATTTTTCTGCTCATTGTGTATGCGGCACCAGCAGGCCAGATCTCTGAAGTGAACACTCCCTCCTATATAGGAGGTAAGTTTCTAAAGAAACTGTGGTGTTGCGTTCGTGGGGGTAACAAGGTAATTTGGTTATATCAACTAAGTGAAATTGCTAAGAATATATGAAAATCATATATTTGAACTGCGCTTAAAGAAATGCATATGAGAACGATCTTCAGTGTAAAGAGCACTACTTAAGCAGTAGTGAAAATAAGACCTGAAAAAAATTCAGGCTCATACGGGATTCAAACCCATGACCTTTGAGATACCAGACGGTGCAGTGCTCTACCAACTGAGCTAACAAGCCAACTGGGAGCTGATCACTAGGGTGGTTCTTAATAAACCCGTCAGATGATGAGTCAAATGCTAAGAATATATGAAAATCATATATTTGAACTGCAGTTAAAGAAACGCACAATATTATGAGAACGACCTTCGCAGTAAGAAAACTGAAAAAGAGGAATGTTTTAAAACTATGAATAAAGAGGATTCTTAAGCCTCTTAAATCCAATGATACAAACACTGCTAAGCCAATAAATACAATGCACCTTTTCTGACCTGCCATGGATGGTGTTCAAAGGGATACAAATTCCACTAATAAAAACTAATTTGAACCAAATGGAAAATGGCAAGTTAAAATACTTCTGTTTCCAGGTGGATGAAAAAGTTCAGGTGAATGATATCTAAGCAATGAAAAGGAAGTGAGGTCTCAAAAACATGGTTTGAAAAAGAATACAGTTCCTCCTTACCTGAATGACACCAATGCAGAGAAAGTAAAAATTTGCAATTCTACGGAACTGTTCAAACAAATTCTTTGGGATAAAATTCAGTATTGTGTACTGCAATAAAAAAGAAAATTAAGGTTCAAGATGCACTTAATAATCAAGACAATAGAAAAAAAATACCAAGATAAGAAATCAACTGCCATCTGTACTGTATCACTTCAAAAGAGAACTACTGGTAATCCTCAAAATTTAATATCTGGCTTGCACATAAAAGCTTTATAGGACCTATATGTAGTTAACTTTGCTTTACATAAAAATGCAACTTGTAGTATCTTATTCAACTTTACTGAATATCAATGTTTTATCAGTTTTAGTCCTTAAATACTGTAGAATTGAAAATAAACCATGGCCCCTACTTCTGTTGCAGGCCAGAAGCAATTCACATCAGGAAAAAGGGAAAATTGTGCTACCATTAGGAAGACTACAAGTTTAAAAAAAACTTAGGGTTGGATGACCAAACATAATCATCATAACTACATATCAAATCTTATTGCATGCGAACATCTTAAAGAAATACCCACCTTTGATGTAACAATTACATTGTTAGCATATCTCCTCTGCTTGACTTCAATGTCTGCATCATTGCTGGGATACTTATTAAGTACATAAACAGTTCGCCACTCTTCATCATGTCGCACCCTTCCCGGAAGTAATCCCTAAAAACAAAAGGAATCATGTTTAAATATAGGAGCAGCCAAATTTAGTCAAGATTCGATTTCTATGTTATCTACAAAACTCCTGAAAAGAAAAAGGAAATTTTGGGCTTGAACATCGGAAAAAAGGGAAGGCATCCCTCATTTTTTATCAGGTTGGCAAAAAGAAAAATCCAAGTTCCTCACAAAGAGATTTATTAAGGTCCTCTTCTGTCAATGCTGATCCTAACAAAAATCATAAAGGACACTTAAAAGTGCTCTTGAGTGACTTTGAGTTACATTCCTTTTTCATATTTTGTTGGAACATAAAAAAAAGGATGGTTGCTTTTAAATGGCCTATTTTTAAATGGCTAAAATTGTGTAAAGACAACCATATCAAAAGCACTCAGCTTGTTCCTAAGTCACAAAAATTTTTCAGGTACAAAATATAACATAGTCCTGTTTCCATGACAACAATCTAATTTACATTTTGTATAATTGCAGGTAATTTTTTTTCTAATTAGGTAAATTTAATTTTTCACTAGGGACAATTTTTTAACCTGGGTAATTTTGCACCACAATACTTTTTTCACTTGCTATGGGGTAACTAACACTTTTTTTTTTATTGATAACCGCCGCCCAGTTAGCCCAATAGATAGTGTGCTGGACTGTTGTGTGGGAGGTCAAGGGTTCGAGCACCAGCCGGACCAACACTCAAGGTCTTAAAATAATTGAGAAGAATTTGCTACCTTCTATAACATCAGGAAATGGTTAGATATTCTAGCCTTCTCGGATAGGGACAAATAAATGGAGGTCCTGTCTCCTGCAGGGTTGGGGGTAGGAGATGTTAATTTCTCACGCACAAGATTACTGTGTGATGGATGTCCTCCCCTGGGGTGGGATGGGTGGGTTTACTGGGCCACAAGTTC